CCCCTGCCACCGGGTCCCTCACAGACCCCCCCAGTACCCCCTGGTGGATATGGCCTTAGTCCTGCCTGCCTGGCCGAGACACGGCTCCCTGCCTGCCTGAGGGAGGCTGCTGCTGGGCAGGCACTGCCTATGGGGGGGTGAGTTTGATGAGCACCCCCAGGTTTAGGGCTGGTGTCAACAGTGGCTCCTAAATTCCCCAGGTGCTGCCCTGCACCCGGGCATCTCTGCCCTCGCTGCCCTCAGATTGCGGAACGGCCACGGAAATCCAATAACCCGGCTCCAGTGTCGTTTTATGGTTAAACCCAAGCCTTTCCCATAATTGTTGGGAGGCAGCGCGGGGAGATTACGATTGATGTCAACAGCCAGATAATCTGTGGTGCAGCCCTGGCTATCGCTGACCTCCTTAATAGGCACCGGTGGCGTTTGGAGCGTGGGGAGCGTGGCCTGAGCCACAGCCACCCCAAAAGCTGTTTGCAACAAAGAAAAGCCCAGCATTGGTGTTGCAATTTTTTTTTTTTTTTTTTTTTTTTTTTTAATATTTCCTTTGGGTGAAAAACCTCGTGCTGCGGCTGCAGCGGGCTCAGGGTTTGGCCCCAAATAACTCCATCGATCCCTGGCCAAGCCCCAGACTCCAACATCCTCTCTGGGAGCGGGGCGAAGGGCCGGTGGCTCCGGGAGGCTGCCGGGGAGGCTCTTACCAGTATCGATCGTTTTGTGGAGGATGAGGGCTGGGAGGGAGCCTGGCTTGACCCCGGCCCCCTGAGCTCATCCCCGTCCTGCTCTCGGGGCAGGGGTGGTGGGACGACTTCTCCTTTGCCCACCTTGGGGCTGCCGGGCATCACCCCCCTACTTGGTACAAAAGGCTCCCTTGGTTTAATGCTATAAAGTCTTCTTTATAGCATTAAGATATGTATTTCTTCTTCTACTAGAAAAGCTATCCGATATATATATCTCTTTCTATATATTTATATCTTTTATGTGTATATATGTATTCTATTTACGTATGTTATATAATATAGCATATACTACATATAATAATATAATGTGATAAAGTATAATAATTGTTTACATTATAAAGTATAAATACACACATAATGTGAATATATCTATTCGACCTCCATACACATGAGATATATGCATATCTCTGTGTAAGTACTTGTGAACATATATATGTATATACACACTTTTTTTTTTTTTAAAGTATGTATTAGACGTTCCTACGTGTTTGTTTACCCAAAGGACTTGGACCCAGGTGTGTTTTACAGAGGACAAACAGACACTTGTATGGCCACAGGCTCTGGGTCCCCCCCAGGAGGGGTGGGAAAGAAGGGATCTCAGGTAGGCTTTGGGCAGTTTTTATTTGTGGAAACCTTCTTTTTCTTTCTTTTTTTTTTTTTTTTTTAAGTGCAAAGCTTCTGCCATCATAATTATGTGAGGGTTTTTTAACTGGTTATTTAATGAAGGTGGGAGGTGGTTGGTTTGGTTTGTTGGGTTTTTTTTTCACATTGTGATTTTGCTTTTGCATCAATTACACAGCCTTTAATCAGGTAACAACTGTTAATGGGCTTTTGTCCCTCTCTGTAAGTCACACATTATTATTTTTTAATGTTGTTGCACTTTTCCCCTTAGTGCTGCCCCTTCACCCACCTTATGTTTAGTCTCAAACTGTTCACTTTTTGCATTTTTATATTATTTATTCTTTCTTTTTTTCTAACCATCCCCTCTCCAAGTGCACCCCAGGTGGTCCCTGCCCCCAGCCCTGCCAGCACCAGGGATGTGGGAGGAAACACAAAATCCATGGGGAGCAGCTGGGGGAAAGCCGGGAGGGGGCTGGCTTTTGCAGGGATGCAGACAGGGATGCAGGCAGGAGAAAGGGCCTCCTTGGGATGCTTCTGTGTCCCACCACGCGTTACCCCCCCCCTCCTTTGGGGCCCTACTGTCCTCTAGGGCTATGGGGGAGGGTGGGGTAACCCCGTTTCGGCAGCTCAGCTGCTGGGTACCGGGATGCTGCTGCCTCCATCCCGGGCACTCACGTTCAGCGGAGCCAAATCCCCCGGGAGCAGCAGGGGGGGGGGGGGGATGCTCCATTATCCGGCTCCTGCTGTGTCGGAGGCAGCTGGACCGGCCGTACATTAATAGATTACACAGAGGATTTGGGCTCTGTGCAGGCAGCGAGGGGAGCGCTGGCAGGAGGCAGCGCGGGCAAGGCCAAGGCTGCTGGGCGAGCCGGCGGGCACCGACACGGCCCCCCGCTCCCCCCCATAACACCTTTTCCAGCCGAGGTAAGTGGAAGGTTCAGCCACGGGGATGGGATGCTGGAGCAGGGGTTGGGATGCCGGAGTGGGGATGCTGGTCCCTGTCTGCCTCTCGGAGAGCTGCTGGGGGGGGGGACCAGGAACCCCGGGGAGGCCGGACGGTGGGTGCAGGGGGATGCCGGGCTCCGGGTGCTCCCCCTTCTCCCACACCTGGCTGTTTATCCCAGGGATGCTCTGCGGAGAAGCCCATGCAGCCACCGAGCTGTGCCGGGGCACGGCTGGATTTAAGCAGTGCCAACGCGTGGCTGGATTTGGTGCCCCGGCTTGTAGCACCCCCCCCAGCCCTTCCCTGCCCCCCAGACTGGTCTCGGGAGTGTGGGTGTCCCTGGAGTTCAGCCACCCCCGGTCCGAAGGGCTCCTGCTGTGTCGGAGGCAGCTGGACCGGCCGTACATTAATAGATTACACAGAGGATTTGGGCTCTGTGCAGGCAGCGAGGGGAGCGCTGGCAGGAGGCAGCGCGGGCAAGGCCAAGGCTGCTGGGCGAGCCGGCGGGCACCAACACGGCCCCCCGCTCCCCCCCATAACACCTTTTCCAGCCGAGGTAAGTGGAAGGTTCAGCCACGGGGATGGGATGCTGGAGCAGGGGTTGGGATGCCGGAGTGGGGATGCTGGTCCCTGTCTGCCTCTCGGAGAGCTGCTGGGGGGGGGGACCAGGAACCCCGGGGAGGCCGGACGGTGGGTGCAGGGGGATGCCGGGCTCCGGGTGCTCCCCCTTCTCCCACACCTGGCTGTTTATCCCAGGGATGCTCTGCGGAGAAGCCCATGCAGCCACCGAGCTGTGCCGGGGCACGGCTGGATTTAAGCAGTGCCAACGCGTGGCTGGATTTGGTGCCCCGGCTTGTAGCACCCCCCCCAGCCCTTCCCTGCCCCCCAGACTGGTCTGGGGAGTGTGGGTGTCCCTGGAGTTCAGCCACCCCCGGTCCGAAGTGGTGCTGCCCTGGGCTGGAGGGTCTGGGGTCATGGCCAGCCATGGGCAGGCAGAAAGTTCCCTTTCTGCCACCAATTTTTGGGGTGGCACAGGAGGCCAGGTGCTTGCAGAAGGTCTCGTGCAACTATGGCTTGTGCCCTGTCAGCTGCTGTGCCTCAGTTTCCCCATCCTGCACGTCCCTACCATTAGCCAGCATTAGTCCATCGTGGGAGGGAGGTCTTGCTCCCCAAATCAGAGGTGACCGTCCACTTAAGCCTTTTCCAGAGCTCTGTACAGATCTATATGGATGCCTAAAATCCCTCCTGGCCTTTCCTGGGGCCATGGCCGGGCAAGAGAAGGACAGCCTTCCCCCATCCCCCCAGATAGCTTCCAGCTGTGATTTGTTGCTCTCCACCCCAAGAGCTACCATCCAAATTACAGTCAAATCTGGCCAGGTCCTCAGGTTTTGCATGTGTCTGGGGACACGGCACGGCTACAAGAAGGCAGTGCCAGGCAGCCTCCCCGTGCCAGGCTGGCCTCGCACCGTACAGGTAAGTGTAGCCTTTGCCTTAGGAAAACAACCCCAAAAGAGCTCCCGGAGCCATGGGCTGCTCCACCATGGGGTTGGAAGCCTTCCCTGGAGGATGGTGGCATGCTGTCCCCATCCTGGGCGATCCCTTCTTTGGGGGGTGCGGAGCTGAAGAGGGAGTGGTGTCCAGGGGAGGATGAAGTTGTGGGATACAGCACCAAGGTGGTTTTTTTTTTTTATTTTCAGCCCTACAGAGACCCCAACTGCTGCCATGGATGAGTGGGACCTCCCCCAGTGGAAGAAGGAGGTGGAAAGCCTGAAGTACCAGCTGGCCTACAAGCGGGAGATGTCCTCCAAGACAATACCTGAGTGAGTGGGTGCCCACCCTCCCTTCCCACCCCTCCCCGTGCCCCCAGCCCAGCCCAGCAGCAGGACATGGCTTTGCACAGCCAGGAGCAGTGCCCAGCTATTCTCCACCCTGCAGTCAGCACCCACGTCCCCCTCCAGATCACCTGGGTGCTCCCAAAATAAGGCGGGTTTAGAGATACAATTTTTTAATTCTCTTACAGTTCTTCAAGCCCTCCACATCCCAGTGACAGAAACCACACCAGCCCCAGTGCTGGTGTCCACAAAGCCCCCCGTGCTCCTTTCCGCAAATCCCCTACCCCGTGCCAGCTCCTTTCCAGCTGCCCAAGCTCAAAAGACTTAAACCTGTAAAACAAAAAGTCACAGAAAGGTATTTTCCCCCTCCTTGGTTTGTACCTCGCTGCTCTCCACCATGGAGGGGCTTGGGACATCCCACGGACCCTCACCTACTGGCCTCTTAGAAGGAGGGGGACAGAAAACTTTAGAAAATAAGTTTAAAAAAAACAACACAAAGGCTGTTGCTGTGCTGTGTGGGGGACAAAAGGCTTTTATTAAAGATAGCTTGTGTTTAGCTCCCCTGTCTGTAACCAGGGGAGAGGGGGATGCATGGGGGGGGCTCATGCAATGGTACCACTCAGGTACCAGCACAGGGTGCACCCCAGCATCACTCCCCACCAGCACAGGGCTTATCTTGGGTACTGGTGACCATCTTTTTTTGCTGCTGCCCCGACGTGGCCACCCAGCCCCTGCCCTGCAGCCCCCACATCCTCAAAACACTTTGCTGCATGGCAAACCCCCCCCCCTCACCCCCCGGCAGGGTCTGTGCCTACCCCTCCGCTCCCCTCTCCGCAGGTTTGTGAAGTGGATCGAGGACGGCATTCCCGAAGATCCCTTCCTCAACCCGGAGCTGATGAAGAACAACCCTTGGGTGGAGAAAGGCAAATGCACCATCCTCTGAGGGGTTGCCACCCCCACCACCACGTCGGCTCCTGCCGCCCCTCGCTCCCCCCCCCCACTGAATGTACTTTTTTATTAGCTAACTCCCTAATATGACTACCTGAACAAAAACCCTACCCTCATCTTGTCTTATTATTTTTAGTAGTAGAAGCCTTTTTTATACTCTGTGGGGGAAAAAGGGGGGGAATGGGGAATACACGGCGGGGGGGGGATAAATAAGCAGCACAGGTTTCTGCTGCGTTAGGCTGCAGTTTCCAGTCCCAGACCTCCACTCGCCTCTGCCACCGTTGCCATCAAGCCGACAGATTTTTTCAACTTGTAAAGGAACAAAAACTTTTATAAAACGTTCTCGGTGATTTTAAATATTCTTTTGTATACTGTAGGATCTAATTTTGCAGCAAAACCAGGCAAAATATGACAACTAAGGGTTTATAAATGAAATAAACAGAACAATACTTCATTATTTTTTTTTATAGATATTTTATTTTTTTTAACAAAACAAGTGGGTATTAAAAAAAAAAAAAAGCAAAACCAATGAGGATCACGCACAGACGCCCCCCATCCACGGGTTAGAAAGTCAAGTCAGCTTATCCCTTTCAGTTCCATTTATATAATTTCCTGGGCGTCACCTCCACCCTGCTACAGCAGGTCCTTGATGTAGATATTCCTCCTGACGGCGTTGGAAACCCCTTCGTTAAACCGGAACCAGACGTCGCTCTTCCCCACGGCCTTTCCCATCTGGCTCTCGATCGACTCTTCCTTGGAAACCTGAGGGGCTGTGGGGGGTGGGGGGTGGAGATCCACGTCAAAAACTTTTAGAAACTCATCATTTTAAAGATACAACCTGCTCCCGGGCTGCACGGGGGGGTTTGGGTGGGCAGAGCTGATGCTCCCATGTCCTGGATCCTCCAAACTCTCAAGGTGTCCATGCTCAGTGTATCTGCTGGCCCTTTGGACACTGCCAGAAGCCACCAAACCTGCCCCCAGGCACCCCCTGCCTGCTGCATTAGGGGCAGTTTGCTCAATATCCCCTCCCCACCCCATGGATGTCCCCCCCAGGGCTCAGTGCTTAGGGACAGAGCCCCTCTTTGGGCACCTCTGTGGGCTCCAGGCACATGGCCACCACCCTATCCCTCTGTCATCCACCCAGGGCTGGGGCCACCACAGCCACCCCATCCCTCTGCCACCTACCTGTGTCTGGGGCCACCACAGCCACCCCATCCCTCTGCCACCTACCCAGGACTAGGGTCACCTGTAGTCACCCCATCCTTCTGCCGCCCACCCAGGTCTGGGGCCACCACAGCCATCCCACCCCTCTGCCACCTACCTGGGTCTGTGGCCACCTGCTGTCGCCGAAGTGGCCGCCCAAAGAAGTCAGTCTCAGGCTGTGAAAAGCAAAAAGCAGAAGGTGACCCCAGCTCTGCCAGCTCCTGCATCTACAGCCCCGTCCCCCTTCAAGCACCCGGGGCAGGAGGGAGCCACCGAGCAGAAGCCGGATGCAAATCCTGCAGAAAGGGCCGGCGGCCTCCATAAAATGCAAAGAGCATTCAAAATCAGGTGGGAAAGACAAACTTTAAGGCTCATCATGCTAAAAAAGCAGGGTTTGTGGACAGTCAAGGTCCCAAAGCTGAGCCTGTGGTGGCAGGGAACCACCTCTTGCTCCTCTTGGCTGATACTGGGATGCCCAGGCTGATACTGATGCCCCCAAAGCTCCCCAAACTGTGCGTGTGCCTTCCTACCCCACAAACATCTCTCCCCCTGGTCCCCCAGCTTGCACTAAGCCAAAATTCGGCCATTCAAGCCCAAACATCCACGTTTCTTTCCTTCCCCACCCCTGAAACCAGACCTAATTCATCCCCCTGCCATAAACCCAGCGATGCATTTACGGGACGTGTGGTGCCGAACCGCTTTAGTAAAAGAACCTGTACTAAAAATAAATAAATACCAATGGAGACAGCCAGTCTCCAGCAGCCAAGGCACACGCTGGGAGGAAATGAGGTACAAACTGCAGCTCCCTCACCTTGTCCTCCACCGCCGCTCGCCGCACGATGTGCTCCAGGCGCTGCTGGTGGTTGGGGGGCTCTGCTGGCCCCACGTCCGCTGGCTCCCCCACCTCACCGAGGCCATTCCTGGGCTCCTGCGGGGAAGAAAGCCCTGAGTGAGGGCTTGGAGGTTTGGGCAACCCCCTCTATTTGCTGCCAGGTTTGATTACAGTAGCCAAACGACCTGGTAACTATTTTTTTCATCCTTTTCTGTCCTGCAGCAGCACATGGGATTAGCCTGGCATCACTTTGGGCATGTGCACGGTTGACACTGTGTAAACAAGGAGCCTTCAGAGATGTTTTTGCAGCATCTCCGCTTCACACATCCCCTGAGAAAGCCCTTCTGCAAGAAGGGGCTCTCTGGGATTAATTACGCATCCCCTGAGAAAGCCCTTCTCCTGCAAGAAGGGGCTCTCTGGGATTAATTATCCCTGTGGCACCAGGGCAGTGCAGGCACCAGCCGCACCTGAACCATTGCTCAGCCTTTTCCACCTGTTTCTACTTTCCCCTGCTTTCTGCCTGCTGCTCCATGGGGGTTTCAGCAGTGGGCAGAGTAACTCTGCTCCTTCAGAGGCTTTGGGACCTTTGGGAGGATTGAAGTGAAGGCAGGAGAGCACAGGTCAGCTCCCCCATGGACATGTATAAATCACAGCCAAACTAAAATGCCCATCTCGTCGCAACCCTCTTTGGAAGGTTTAAAGCCTTCACTCACAGCGAGCATTTCTTTCCAGAATTCCTGCAAAAAAGATGAGCCCTTTGGGCTCATCACCCCAGCGTGGATGTGCTGCCCAAAGGCAGATGTGCAGGCAGACGGCTGTGACTCGGGGGGGGTTAATCCTGGATTTCCATTTGCAGAGTAAAAGCCACCAACTGCTTTGGAAACACCAGGTCCCCACACCAGCCCTAAGGACTTTACCCCATCGATGGACCCACCTCCCGCCCCGAAAAACCTCAGGACACCACGAGCCCTCCATACCTCGCCCAGGTTTCGCGCCTGCAGCAAAGCCTCTGTCCTCCTCATCTTCTCCAGCTCGATCTCCCTGGCGATGAGCTGCTTGGCCTGGTAGGTCAGCTGCCTGCGAGCCGGCAGGTCCGGGAACCGGCAGACATCCTCCACGTTCCTGCACCATGGAACAGGGGATGAGAGAAAATACATCAACACTGAAAATAAATCAATTCGGAAAATAATAATAAAAAAAGCATTATGCAAACTGCAGCCTGACACAGGGAGACCCACCAGACTCCCAGCCCCGTCCCCACCAGCCTCTTAGTATGATCCTGGCCATGGTGCCTCAGTTTCCCCATTGCCACCCTCTCTGAGTCTGCACGGCGATGGCAGCACTAGAAGATGCCCGGCGAGCGGTGCCGGCCGTGCAGAGCCAGGTTCCTGCAGGGCATCTCAGCTGAATGGGAACTCAGGAGGGATTATGTGCTTTTTAATCTTGGTTTTAATGCACGGAGAGGAAATTGCAGGCGGGTCTGTGCCGAACAGACTGCCCTGGAAAAGCCAGAGTCACATCACAGCTTGGGCACGAGCAGCTCCGTGACCCTTTGCATGAACCCCGAGGTGCCCGCGGGGAGCCGTTTAATTGAGATACGGCCATGAGCTGTAATTTCGGCTAATCAGAGCAGTTTTATTCTTAATGAGGGCTGGTACACCAGGTCTGGAGTCAGGCCTGTTTCAGTACAGCAAAAGCTCAAGCATAGCCCCACAAGGAGGCAGCGGGGCCAGTTCCTCTGCCAGCTGTGAATATCTCACGTTTTATTCACATTTGATATTATTCCCCTTAAAGTAAAGGGAGCAAAGTCCTATGTCAGATAGCTTTGCGGGCATTTAGAAGTTAGCAGTCAAACATATGATTTAAAAAGTTTTAAAGGCAAAACACAGGTTTTGCTGTCAACAACAGCTTTGTTTGTCAGAGCGAAGCTGAGATGTGATTCGCAGGTGCCACCGGGACGTGACACCCCTTGTGGTCCCCATCCTCCCTGCACGTGGCCAGGAAACGGGCTCAGAATTTGCAAAAGTGGAGCAAAGCAAAGCAACTGCTTGTGCCACCAGCTCCCAACCTCTCCTGATTTTCGGTGGCACAGCCTGGCGTGGGGATGGCACGGGGGGAGGAGGCTCCCTACAGCCCCCGCAGCTCCCACAGGCCTTTCCGTGAGGGAAAAAAAAAATAAAATAAAATAAAGCGCTTCACTGTAATTAGATACAGCTGCTTGATTTAACAGCAGCTAATTTTTGTAATTAACTTTGCACCAGGAAGACATTAGCGTTGCTCCTGGCTGTGGTCGGGTCTGTATGACTTCACCGAGGCCTCGGGAGCATTTATGGCTCTGTATAGACTTAAAAGCACAGTGAGACTCACATCCAGCAACGGCCAGCTCTTAATATACAAATTAACCGTGGCTACAGTGACCTCCTGTGTGCAACGTGCCCAGGTGGACCTGCTCTCTCCTGCAGCCACAAGCCTCCAGCAGCCTCGGTCCCTCCTCTGCTGGCTCTGGTAACAGCCAAAGGCAGCTGCTTCCTTTCCTTTAATCCCATTAAAGCAAAGCCAGAACTGCTTAGGACTCCTGAGCTCCTTCTTTTAAAAAGAAAACAAGGCAAAAAAAAAGCAGATAATCCCCACGGAGCTGCCATCGGAGAAAGTGGGCTCCCTGCAGCCATCCCAGCACTGGGCAGCTTGTACCAACCACTGGAGAATCACAGATTCGTAGAATGGTTTGGGTTGGAAGGCACCTTAAAGATCATCTAGTTTCAACCCCCCTGCCCTGGGCAGGGACACCTCCCACTAGAGCAGGTTGCTCAAAGCCCCATCCAGCCTGGCCTTGAGAAGGTTGCAGCCTCTGCCTGCAAGAAACCAGCTCAACATCATGATGCCTTTGGGCTCAAACTCCTTTCTGGAAGGTTGCAGCCTCCGCCTGCAAGAAACCAGCTCAACACCATGATGCCTTTGGGCTCAAACTCCTTTCTGAGCTCCCTGCTGTTATTTTGGACCCCTACACCTCCTCCCCACCCTCAGGACTTACGGGTCGAGCTTGTAGACGTACTGGCCCTCGGGCAGGCGCTCCTGGTGGTAGGTGAGGTTGTAGGCCAGCATGGTGCTGATGAGGTCTGCCAGCTGCTGCTTCTCCTTCAGGCTGTAGAGCTGGGTGTTCACCTGAGGAGGAGAAGGGATCCAAGGGGAGGGCATCACTAATCCATAATAACTTCTAAACATAAAAATAACCTGAAGCACGGGGTTGGTCTCTATACGAGAGAGGACAGTTAATATCCGTGAGGTTCAGACCAAGTTTAGTTTCCTATTAGGGACACAGGAACCTCACAGAGCGGGGACAGTCCCCTCCAATGGCCCGAAGGGTAAATGCACCCAACACAACCCTGTGTGCAGCTGAACCAGCTGCTGAAAGGGGACTGCAGCAGGTCCCCAAACTCATGCTCAGGCGAAGCCCACCCCCAGGTGCAGGGGTCCAGGAGGTGCAGGACAACCCCTCCTGCCCCCGGCACCCACCAGTCGGCATCTCAGCGATGTGTCCCCAACTTCCCTCTGGCTTCTGCATCAGTTCCAATATCAAATCCACCCCAAATTTGGGACAGAGGGATAGCTCAGCCTGAGCAATGCAGTGCTGGGGAGGTGTCCCATCCCTAACAGGGGGTTTGCAGAGGGGACACGTCTCCTGAGCAGGACTCCTGCCACTGCAGTGAGAGGGGGCCAGTGGGCACTCACTGGTCGGAGCTTCGGGGCGATGATGTCCAGCAGCAGACAGAGCACCTCCAAGACGAGAGACTGCTGCCCCGCACGGCTGCGGGCGCTGGGAGTTATCCCCGACAACATGGACATGACGAGGTTCTGCATGTGGTTCAGCTTGGCCAGGGCCTGGGTGGAGAGGACAGGGATGGCTCAGCCACGGCTGCAACCACACACATCCCCAAAGGTGACGGAGCTGGAGTCACACTCCCATCGTGTCCCCCCAGGTACTTGCCTCGTGCTGGCTGCTGGGATAAGAGAGCCGGGGGATGCTGGTGGCTGCAAAGAGCAGGTGGAAAGCCACGGGCAGGAAGGGCAGGTACCGCATCAGCTGGAAGCTCTGCCCGTGCAGAACAGCTCGGCTCAGAAGGTCGGAGAAGCCCAGCCACTCCAGGGCCAAGCACACCGAGCTGAAGCTGGAGTCCCGCAGCTTCATGTTCAGGAAATTCTCATACAGACCCTGGAAGCAGATGGAGGATTAGAGATGGCTCAAGGCTGGGCAGACGGTCCCGTCAGAGCACGCTGCTGGGATTCTGAGCATTCCCACTGAGCCCAACTCCAGCCCAACATCCCAAAACTCCATCCAAAGTCCTACTGCAGGGAGGAATTTCCCAAGGCACCTCCCAGCCACGACCCCCCAGGATCAGGAGCCACCCTTGTTCCAGAGGTAAGGGCCCCCCCGCCAAGCTGCTCTACCTGGGCAAGCTTCTCCTGCTCCCCTGAGGAGACGGCGAGGTGCAGGATGTGGTGGAAGCGGTGGTAGGATGCGCCAAAGCCAGTTGTCCCCTTCAGGTGCACCAGGTCCTCATCGCCCATCAGGAGCTGGGCTGGCAAAGCAGGATCCATTCCTATCCTGTGCCTGGGGGGGCAAAGGGAAGAGCTCAGGGTGTCCCGGCACAGAACAAACCAGCAAGGAATATTTGGACCCTTGCAAACCAGACTGAAGGCAACACTGATGCCAAATCATTGGGCACTAAAGAGAGTGGCCAAAGAGCATCTGGACACACCAATCTGCTGATGGAGCCGGGGCTGCTGCAGGGCAGAGCAGCTCTCCAGGACCTGTCAGGATTTTCCACTGCAGGTCACAGAATCATAGAATCAGTTTAGTTGGAAGAGACCTCTAAGACCATCAAGTCCAACCGTTAAACTAACACTGCCAACTTACCACTAAACCATATCACTAAGCACCACATCCACACGTCATTTAAATACCTCCAGGGATGGAGACTCCACCACTTCCCCGGGCAGCCTATTCCAATGCTTGATAAGCCTTTCAGTGAAAATTTTTTTTCCTAATATCCATCCTAAACCTCCTGTGGAACAACTTGAGGCCATTTACTCTTGTCCTGTTGCCCGTTACTTAGGAGAAGAGACCAATCCCCACTTCACTACACCCTCCTTTCAGGGAGTTGTAGAGAGCAATAAGGTCTCCCCTCAGCCTTCTTTTCTCCAGGCTGAACAACCCCAGTCCCCTCAGCTGCTCCTCATAAGATTTGTGCTCCAGACCCCTCACCAGCTTCATTGACCTTCTCTGGACACAGAGTCTTGCAAGCAGGTCAGGGGACACCGCAAAGCAGCGGGTCCTAAGCAGACATAAACTTTTACCTTGGGACCCTTGGGAGCTGGAAGATCTCTTGCCAAATGGAGAAGAGCCCCTTGTTTTGGTCCTTCAAGCCGATCTTCATCGTCTGCACCATCTGCACGCTCAGCTCCTTCTGGCCTCGGCCGTGCAAGAACTGCAACACAGGTGAGGGGCTGGGGGGCACGGGCACCATGGGGAGGGAGGGGATGCCCACAACGACTAGGTGGAAAGCCAGAGACGGCGGCACCTCGCTCTCCCTTGCTTTGTAGGGGAACCAAGGTTAAAAATAACACAAGGGGATGGGGTGGACAATTTAGGGATCTGCCCGGGATGGTTTTTTTTCCCCTCCATCCCCATCTGAGCCCAGATCAAGTCAAGAGTTCCAGCAAGCCCATGTCCCCCAGAGCCCCCCCGGTGGCACCAGTACCTGCAGGGTGTTGATGCAGGAGCGGATGTCGTTCTCCGTCTTCTCGCACAGCGCCAGCAGCGCGCCCGTGTCCGCCCGCATGCCCTGCCGCAGGGCGATCTGCAGGAGAGGGGGGTCAGCAGGGAAGCTTCGATGGCCCCGGGGTGGGGGGACGGTGAGAGGAGCCCCCGGCCCCGCCGCACCTCGCAGAGCCGCTGGGCAAGCCGGGATGGCGCCGTCTGAGGGAAGTTGAGCAGGAAGGCCTGCTGCCGCAGCGGCCGGAGGGCAGGGACGTACCTGGCAAAGGGAAGCACAGGGAGCTCTGAGTGACCCGAGCTGAGGAACAAATCCAGCCATTCATGCTCTGCTCAAAAAGAGAGGGGGTTCTTTCGCAGCCCCCTGCACACCACAGCACGCTTGGGCACTCACAGACACAACTGTGCACTCACAAACACAACCGTACACTCACACCCAGCGACAGGTCACCCCAGAGGATACAAAACCAGGGGGGTTTCAGGAAAGCTGAACACGGTGTAGTTTTACTTTTCATAAATTACTTCTAAGCCGAGGGCCGGCCGGATGGCAAATAACTCGGCGCAGGAAGGCTTTGGCTTGGAGGCAACAGAGGCCACCTCCTCGCTTGGGACAAGGGTCTCAGCTCCCCATCCCTCCCCAGAGGTGACACTAACTGGTCGTTGCAGATGCAGATGATGGGCCGGAGCAGCAGTCCACCCTCACGCCGCCTCCTCCGGCCTGCGCCAGCCGCTGCCTCGCCCTCCGCATCCTTACGGTGGATGATGTTTAGCAGCACGTTGATAGATGCCTTGGGGAAATAAAAATAAAGGACAGAAGGGATGAACTGTTGTTGTTTGGAGGTGAGGAACCACTCCTAAAAAGGATGAGCTGCTAAGAGGGCAATAATTAAGCTCTTAGTGCAAAAGGTGGCTAGATCCAGGCCGGGCTTACCGCGGGTGCACCGTCTATCTCATCGATGATCAGGCAGTTGGGCTTCTCGTTGGCGCCCAGAACAGACTTCATCTGAGTGGCAGCTTCGATGCGGGTTTTGAAAACCTCGGGGCTGCGGTCGTCGCTGCAAGACAAGCCGGTGACGGGCTGCTGTGGCATGGCACCATCTCCAGCACGGCACCACCACCTCTGGCACGGTACCATCACCTCCGGCATGGCACCACCACCACCAGCTTCTGGGGCAGGGCAGGGCTGGGCAGTCATCACAGACCCACCTGGCGTTCATCTCGACAGCGTTGTACCCCGCGTGCTTGGCAATGACGTGGGCCAGCGTGGTCTTCCCCAAGCCAGGTGGGCCACAGAGCAGGGCTACCTGAGGCAGAGAGGTAACGTCAGCCTGGCAGGCAGCCAGGCTGGGCTTCCTCCAGCACCCACCAAGGCCACCACCCAAGGGGACGAGGCTCCCCAGCCTGCAAAATGGTCTTGGGAGCTGCTGCACTGGTTTGTAGACACACGGGAAGAAGGGAAAGTCACTGGAGGAAGGAGACTTTAACAGAAACTCTCAGAGGTGACAGAGTCACCCTGGCAGCATCTCTCATGCGTATGTTTAAGTTTACAGGGCAACAGTTAGAAAAGGCTGAACAAAGCACCTCCCAGAATGACACACCTGAGAAGCAATACTGTTAGTATCTGGTTTTGTTTCCCCTTTTTTACGTCTTCTCACTGGACAGGTTGAAGCTGGTTAGCTGGCCTGGGTATGTTATCTCTGTTCCCTTTACCATTTGAGCATCAAATCTTGCTCAATAGCGTGTCACATCTGCCCCAAACAAAAAAAGTCAACTCCCTTTACCATTTGAGCATCACAGCTCTTTTCTGGATGCAGAAACTCTTGCTCAATAGCATGTCACATCTGCCCCAAACAAAAAAAGTCAAGACCAACCTCTGCTAAAAGGGATGTGACTTTCCTCAACCAGCCCATTTAATTTGGCTGGAGAAAGTCTGTTCCTCTCCCCTTGTTATCACATTACCCAAGTCAAAACAGAAGCAGAAATGAGAAAACCCCACATTGTCTAAGGAGAATCAAGGAATCCAGCTTCTCCTGGATCGGTACTGGAAGAGCCTGCTCCTCACCGTGGCGGTGGGATGAAGGGAATTGAAGGATGTGACTTCCCTCAACCAGCCCATTTAATTTGGCTGAAGAAAGTCTGTTCCCTCTCCCCTTGTTATCACATTACCTAAGTCAAAACAGAAGCAGAAATAAGAAAACCCCACATTGACTAAGGAGAATCAAGGAATCCAGCTTCTCCTGGATCTGTACTGGAAGAGCCTGCTCCTCACCGTGGTGGTGGGATGAAGGGGATTGGAGGAGACTCAGCACAATGGCCTCCTGTCCTGCTTACCTTGTATTTGGGTCTCTTGTGCTGGTCCAGCTCAGCCTCCAGAATCTCCTCTGTGAGCTGCATCTTTGTTTTCCACTTATTCTGTTGCTCCTTGGGCTGGTTGAATGGAGGATGAGCCTCAGTGCTGGGCTTGGTCTTCTTGACAGCCTTCTCCTTCCCAAACACCACAGTGTCCCAGAGCTTGAGCCACTTCAGAAGGCAGCGGTTTGTGTACTGCATGTCGGGCAAGAAAGCAAGCAAACCCCGTCAAACCTCAGAAGGATCTGGCTGAGGACAGAGGAAGCCCTCTCCTTCATTGCTAACAAACCACCATAGCAATAGAGGAAGGAGCCAAGCCTGAGGAGGCAACACGGAGCGTGTCTGTCCAAACAGACCTTGAGCATGCAGCACATCACCCATCACACCATGGAAGACGCTGCCCAGGTTTCCACCTGGCATCTGTCTGGGACAGCATGGCACTGCTGCTTCCCTTCCCAGCTTGGCCACCAACCCATGTGGCAACTGAGCACAAGTCACAGTGGCCCCAACTCTGCTGTCCCTCGTCTGTCTTGGCTCAACCCAGCGCTTCTCAGGCTTTTCCAATTCCCTACAAAACTTCTAATTTTCAAAAAAAATCAAAATAGCCAACAGTTCCCAGCTAAAGCCCACCCAATCTTTTTTGTCTTATTTTGGACATCTTTTACAGTCTCCTTTATAGAATGATAGAATTGTCCAGGTTGGAAGGGACTTTTAAGATCACGTAGTCCAACCATCAACCGAACTCTGATAAAAACCATCACTAAACCATGTCACACTATGTCTGCCCATCTTTTAAATACCTCCAGGGATTTGTTGGAAGGTCCACAACCTACAGCTGAAAAACCCCCACCCCAAGCTCTCAGCAGCAGGACTGCACCCAGGCAGGACTGGCACAGACAGAACCCCTCAGCTGGTGCTTCCAAAAGTCCCACGATCAAAGGCAGCACCATAAAATCTTGATCCCACAGCACTAAGAAAGAGTTATAAAAGTGGCAAACCCACACAAAACCCAAGCCCCAACTTATCCTAGCACCTCACATCATCACTGAGCAGCTCCATGTAGCGCCGGGGAGTGAACTTGTCCACCCAGAGGCAATGCAGGGCTGACTCCTCCTCATCTGCTGGTTCTCCTTCTGCTTCCCCACTGGGCTCTGGGCTCTCGGTGCTGGTCTCGCTCTCGAGGCAACTGCAAGAAAGACCTAATTTGCCCCAAACCACCCAGGGAGTCAGGGCAGGGCTGGGAACTGCACCCAGACTTGCCGAGCTGGGGATGCTGAGGGCAAAGAGGCTCCTCTCCTCAGAGGTCCCCAAAACCTGGACCTCACCAGAGCATCTTGAGAGCCGCCACCCAGCAGAGATAGGACTGGGATTTTATCCCAACATCTCACCTAGATATTATCTCCGTCAGCTGCTGTGATGCCTCCAGAACACGTCGCCGACGCTTGAGCATGAAGAGGGCAAGAGGAGGGGGTAAGAGACACCCTGTTAACCCACAGCTGGGGGGGAGCAGGGATTCGGGAGCCAACCCCTGTGGCAGGGGTAGATGTGATGGTGAGTATAAGATGTGGTACCTCTTCATTCACTTGTTTATCCAGGGGTGGCAGGGGTAGATGTGACGGTGAGGATAAGATGTGGTACCTCTTCATTCACTTGTTCCTTCAGGTAGGAGAAAGGCACCCCCAGCAAGTGGAGCGGCCTGCGCGCATTCCAGCCCAGGGAATCTGGGAGCTCAAGGAGCAAAGGACACACACTGATGTTCATGCTGATGCCCAGCAAACGTTTCATGCTTCATCAAAGATCCCCTCCTGAACCGATGTTCATGCTTCATCAAAGATCCCCTCCTGAACTTCCTTCAGGTAGGAGAAAGGCACCCCCAGCAAGTGGAGCGGCCTGCGCGCATTCCAGCCCAGGGAATCTGGGAGCTCAAGGAGCAAAGGACACACACTGATGTTCATGCTGATGCCCAGCAAACGTTTCATGCCTGGAGATCATCTAGTCCAACCACTGGAAGGAGGTCAACAGAAAAGTAAGCCCAGCCTTCAGATCCCTCCTTACCTCCACGCCTGTCCTGGAGGGATCATCCCTCAAGACCATGAAGACCCTGGTGCCCTCGGTGGACGTCACGTTGATGTAATCCTCCAGGACGGGTGGCCGCTTGAGGACCCGCTTCTTCTCGGAGGGTGGCGTGGTCTGCAGAGGCACCATGCCGCTCATCTCCAGGTGGCCTGAGCTGAAGAACACCAGGTTCTTTTAGCAGGGGAGAGGGAAAGAGCCTCACCTTTGGTGGGGTTCAAGGGCTCTTTCCCTCTCCCCTGCTAAACATGGAGTTCAAGGTGGCCAACCTGCCAGTCTGGGGAGTAGAAGGTGCCTCTGGGCCAGCATCCCAGAAGCCATTAGGAGCAAACTCATCATCGGCACCAAAATTGAGCTTCTTGACTGGCCTGAGCTGGAGAACACCAAGTTCCTTTAGCAGGGGAGAGGGAAAGAGCCCTTGAACCCCACCAAAGGTTCTTTCCCTTTCCCCTGCTAAACATGGAGTTCAAGGTGGCCAACCTGGCAGTCTGGGGAGTAGAAGGTGCCTCTGGGCCAGCATCCCAGAAGCCATTAGGAGCAAACTCATCATCGGCACCAAAATTGAGCTTCTTGACAGCTTCCAGGCGCCGCCGCTTTGGCTTCGGGGCTGCATGAGACCACCAGGGCAAGAGGAGGAAGAGGAGAAGCACCGTTAACTGGTACCTGGATGGTCCTCCAGCAGCACCCCCACACCGCTCGGGATGGCGAGAGGGGTCAGCAGCACCCGGGGACCCACCGGGGGTGCAGACCCGGCTTGGGCCACACTTACTGTGGGCTGTGGGTGGTGACGGGGACTCGGGTGGGTCACAGCCCCGGTCCCTCTTCTTCGGGTTGGTGTCTTTCCCTTTCCCCTGCTAAACATGGAGTTCAAGGTGGCCAACCTGGCAGTCTGGGGAGTAGAAGGTGCCTCTGGGCCAGCATCCCAGAAGCCATTAGGAGCAAACTCATCATCGGCACCAAAATTGAGCTTCTTGACAGCTTCCAGGCGCCGCCGCTTTGGCTTCGGGGCTGCATGAGACCACCAGGGCAAGAGGAGGAAGAGGAGAAGCATCGTTAACCGGTACCTGGATGGCCCTCCAGCAGCACCCCCACACCGCTCGGGATGGCGAGAGGGGTCAGCAGCACCCGGGGACCCACCGGGGGTGCAGACCCGGCTTGGGCCACACTTACTGTGGGCTGTGGGTGGTGACGGGGACTCGGGTGGGTCACAGCCCCGGTCCCTCTTCTTCGGGTTGGTGTCCCCGGTGGGGTCTCCGGGAGGGTCGGGCTCCTCCGGTGGCTGCTTCTTGCTCCGGAACTGGGAGATTTTGGGGCCAGCGGGTAAGAACGGGTCATCTGCAAAGAGGCGTTGCACGACGGCGCCGGTCACCGGAGGGGGACCCACGGGTGGGACGCTGCACAGGGCACAGCCCGGTCCTGCCCGCTCGCTCTATCGCTGCCCCCCGGTACCGGCCACGGCGCTCTCAGCGGCGCTCACCTCCCAGCTCTGCCAGCACCTCCAGCTCGGCCGCGTACTGCTGGTAGAAGCCATCCTCGGTATCCTCCTCGGGGTCCGCCATGGGCAGCACCGCGCACCCGCTCCCGCCCGCGCCGCGCTTCCGGCCGCCGCCGCCGCCGCGCTTGCTGCTGATTGGACGGGGAGCGCCGGCCGGAAGCGACGGAGGCGTTGATTGGACGCGACACGACGCTGGACGCGGCGGCGGCGGCGCTGATTGGACGCGACGCGCGGCCCCGGGCCCGGTGCCGCTGCTGGATACGATGTAGCCGCTCGCCCGCCCCGCCCGGCCCGGGGACAGCGCTGCAGGTCGGGACCGGGGGCAACGGGGGGGACGGGACGGGACGGGACGGGAGTCGGGTGGCCGCCGCCCCCTTCGCCGTGCGTGTTCCCTCCTCCGTGTCCCCTGTCTCCTCCGCCCTGCGTGTCCCCTGCCGGGCGCCACGGCGTGCTGTCCCGGCCGGAGCCGCTGAGATCGCGGCTGGGCCCCGGTTAGCAGCGGGAAGGGGCGGCGGGACCGGAGCTGGGGGGCAAGTAGGAGGAGGGAGAGGCCGAGCCCCGCGCCGACGGGCTGGATCGGCCCCGCACCGTGCGGCTGCGGGGCCTCCACGCGTGACACCGGGACGGGGCCTCCACGCGTGACACCGGGAGGGCTGCGGGACGCGTACGGCGTGGCACTGGTATGGCGGTGGCTGTAGTGCACCGGTAGCGCTGTGGGACCCAGCACAGTGTGACACCGGTATTGGTGTGGCTCAGGGACACGTGTGGTGTGACACCAGTATGTCCCCAGTCCAACCGGGGGTTCCCCAGCCCCAGGCCCTGCTCCCTGCCCACTCTGGCTGGGTCCCTTCCCTCCCCCGGGGGCTGTGCCCATCCCCGGGGGTGCCCCGGCTGAGGGCTCTTCCCGCCCCGCTCACCCCGGTTCCCCCTCCCGCTCCCTGCAGGGCGCTGGCCATGGAGCCGGGCACCATCGACAACCTGTCCATCCTGTACCAGAGCTCCGACTTCATCGTGGTCAACAAGCACTGGGACATCCGCATCGACAGCAAGATGTGGTACGAGACCCTGACCCTGCAGAGCCAGCTCAAGTACCGCTTCCCCGAGCTGGCCGACCCCGACACCTACTACGGCTTCAGGTGAGCAGCTGGGGACCAAACCAGGCTCTGCCCGGCCACCAAGCTGGCCTTGGCTGGGGACACTGCCCCAGTGGCCAGGGATGCTCCTCCGCCTCCCGTCTCCTCCCCAGGTTCTGCCACCAGCTCGACTTCTCCACCAGCGGGGCCCTGTGCGTCGCGCTCAACAAAGCAGCAGCGGGGAGTGCCTACAAGTGTTTTAAAGACCGACTGGTGACCAAAGCTTATCTCGCCCTGGTAAGCCCACCCCACCCCACCAGGTCCTTCTTCCGGACGTACCTTTTGGTTTTGCTAAATTACAGCTTGGCCTCTGCTTCTTGCTGTCCTGGTGTTGGTGAAGAGTGATGCTGGGGCTCGGTTTGCAAACCAGTTTTCTGCCCTGCAGGTCAGGGGCCACGTCAGCCAGAGCCGAATGACGATCCGCTACGCCATAGGGAAGAACACCACTGAGGGCATGACCCACATGATGTGCATCGATGGGACGGAGGGTGAGCGGCTCCCGCGCCCCACATGCGCTGCCCAGACCACCTGGGCCACGCTGGGGGGAGCTGACCCTCCTCTGCATCTCGTTGCAGGCTGTGAAAATCCCAAACCTTGCCAGTCGGAGCTGATCGTGCTCGAACACGGGTCCTACAGCGGAGACCCCGTAACCAAAGTGCTGCTGCAGCCGCTGACAGGTGGGAGCTCGGGGCCACGTGGGCATGGAGGGGCTGGTGGGGCTGGACAGACAGAGGAGCAGAGGTGCTCCAGCAGAACCTGCGCTTGTGCAGCCCTGGACCTCGGTGGCAGCTTGGTGACACTGTGAAAAACAAAGCCTAGAAGGGGCTGAGTGGAGCTGAGAGCCACACTCAGCTTGCAGAGGAGTGAGGTCCTCACACTAGGGGGACAAATGCCACTTGGTGCGTTGTCACCTTGCACCATGGTCTCCATAATTCCTCCACTCCTGTTCTCCCCCCCAGGGCGGACTCATCAGCTCCGGGTTCACTGCAGCGCCATTGGCCACCCCATCGTGGGGGACTTCACCTACAGCCACAAGAAGGACAGCAGTCCCTACAGGATGATGCTCCACGCCTACTACCTGCGCATCCCCACCGGCAAGGAGCTCATCGAGGTCTGCGCGCCCGACCCCTTCGTCACCGCCATGGACAGCAACTGGGTGCCCCACCACGTCATTCACCAGCTGGATGAGACCATCCAAGAGCTGAAGGACAAGATGATGCAGAAAGGAGAAGAGGAGGAGAGCCAGGAAGCCGTGCTTGGTGGCCAGGGAGAGGAGGCACAGCATGAAGCCAAGAGCCCGGAGACGGAGGAGCAGCGAGCCCAGTGTCAACAGTGGTTGGCCGAGTGGGCTTTGGAGTGAGCACAAACCACACCTCTGCATTTCCAGCCCAATGCTCCATTTTCGTCCCAGTGGGTCCCCACAGAGCCCAGCGCTGACTCCACATCTGCACTTTCTGTATGCCGTGGCTTCCCTCACATCTGGGGCTGGGCCTAGACAGATTTTAGCAGCGATTAGGGATTAGGATGGGTTAATTTTTTAATGTACACATCATCCATCTGGCCAGTGGATGCCCCTTTCCTAATTCTGGGCCTTCAGCAGCAGAGTCAGTGTGTCATGTACCAGCTTAGAGTGACCCCAAAGCTTTACATCCCTGTCCCAGGGCTCAGGCACAGCTGGGGAAGCACCAATGCTGCCTTTACCGTGAGTGTGATGGATGTATCTGCAAACCCTCAGTGCTTGGATGCTAAAGACCAGCCCAGCAAAGGGAGAGAACATCCCGGGTGCAGCTTCAGGGGGTGTGTGTCCCATTCCCTTTGCTCCCGGGTGTTTTGCCCTGGAGCTGGGCTGTGCCACGGGTGCAGGAGAGGTCCCTGCCTGCCCGACCCTGCTCTCACGCTTCCCTCCCTGCCTCGGCTCACGTGTGGGTTTTTTAAAGGTTTGTTGAAGGCGAGTGAGTTGATACGAATGGATTTTAAACTTTTTTTTTTAAAATTTCTATGAGAAGAATCCAGTCTTTTAGCAGTTCTGAAATACGGGTGGTCTCCGAAATGCGTGTATTTTTAGTATTTCTGTGGTCAGAATAGCCAGCAGCCCAAAGCTTTTTTAATAGATCTTATTATTCCTTATGATCTATTTTAATAGATCTTATTACTCTACGAGCATTGCCTTTTCTTAGCACCCACTCTTATTCTGGATGTGGACCTAACTCCTGCTGAGGCAGGTCAGAAGACACAAGCCCCTTTCTGCTTTGCCCAGATGAGGAGGAATCTGTTTTTGTCTTGTGATGTGGCTCCTCGCTGGTGGGTTTCTGTGTGGGTGTCAGCACCCAGGTGTGCCACGGGCAGGACCTACGGGTGGGCAGTTTGGGAGAGCTCTGGAGCAGCGAGAGCGGCCGAGGAAATGGTTAAAGCTAAAAGAAAGGCTGAGGACTGTCGGGAAGAGTGGGAAGGAGCTCGTCTCACAACGGAGCTCAGCTTTGCAAGATGCCAAGAGGAGTTTCTCTGGAAACTTTGCAGGATGCAAGATGCGGAGAGGAGTTTTTCCTGCAGTCTCTGGAGGACGTTTTGGAAATGAAGAGAGCGGGGGTGGGCTGGGGAGGGACAGAGGTGGCTGGAGCCCCTTGCACACAGAGCACCCATCCCTGGGTATTCAGCACCAAGCCACCACATCAGCACATGCCCGGAGCTATCGTCACCTCACAAGCCCTGTCCCATTTAAAATGCACCTGACAGTGGTTTCATGCAACTCATGTTCCTACCCTGAGGGGAAATAAAACAGCACAACCCTCTCCTTGTGGGTGAATGCAGTGTGCTGGGTCACTGAAACCCCACGGGGTATTGCCTCACCTGTGTCCCCGGGGGCTGGTGGGTCCAGGCTCACTGTGCTGTGGCACATGGCTAGGGACAAGGTGGCGTCACCTTGTCCTTTGGTGGCTTGGCACAAAGTGCTGCCATGAACTGCAGGGTGGGGACATGCTCCCGGCTCTGCAGGAAGCAGCCCTGAGCACCAAGAGGGGACCACAGGCTGGTGAGCTGGTGGCAGAGGGCTCAGGGGGGTTTGGACGAGCAGAAAATCCATCTCCTTCCTCCCAGGCCCTGTCCCTGCCCGTCCCATCTCTCAGGAGTGGCCGGGGAGAGGCAGCCACAGGCAGGTCCTGAAGCTGTAAATTAATGTCATGAACTTGTTTGCCAAAGAATGAATGTGGGTGACGTGCACAGGAAAAGTTACAGGTCAGACCTGCAGCGTCAGAGACGGGGCGCAGCCTTCCCTTCCCACAGGCCCTGCTGTGGGAACGGGCCCCGCTGTGCAACGGGGGACACGTCCTGCAGCTGCACCTCTGGGACGAGGCCACGGGGCCAGCAGTCACTGAGGGTGACATGGGGGACACACACCGGTCCCCACGCACAAGGGGATGGTGAGGAACCATCGCTCACTCCACCGTCTACGTTGAGGAGCCCCTGCACCTCCCGTCAGCCTTCGTGCATTGCACTTTTACCCGATGTTGCAGGAACCAGAGATAAATAAGCATTTTCCTTACCTTGCAGAGGGATGTTTTCCAGGCATCCTTCCCTGGCTTTCCCCCGGCGCCGTGTCCAGCCCTGCTCTCTCCTCTCTGCCATCACTGCCGCGGGGCCATGTGCCGCATCCTACGTGAATCCACTCCTGCATTCGGACCCGGGGTGGGGGGGTGTTGTGATGGGGGTGTGTGCCTCGTGACGTGCTGTACAGCTTGCAATAACCCTTATTTCTTGTTGCACGTGACCGTAGTAAACCATTTACCTGTGCACCCTGCGGTTCCCCCTCTGGTCTCTCGGTCCGCGCTGCTCGGGATGGCACGTTCCGCGGCGGGGCCGGTGCGGTGCCGGGAGATTCCAGGAATGAGCCCAGACCAGCACGACGGGACTGGCCCCAGGGCTCTGACACGGCCAACCTGTTGTTTGAACACCGGTGCTCATCCTCACCCTGCTGAAATCCTCCCCCCTGGCCGAAACCACTGGATTTATCTACCCGAAAGCCCTCCCGGATTTAGTAACTCTGGCACGGGTGACTAAGGATGCCCAGGGTGGCTGGGGCACATGCCACTGCCCCGGCCCTTCCCCTGCCTGTCACCCACTCTGTCCAATACCAGCATCTGGGATTGTCCCAAACCAAATAGCAGAGGCAGGGGAAAAACTCCTGATTTTGAAACACTGCAGCAGGAAACGGGGGAGCCATTTCCTGCAGAGCCATGGGGCTGCCGATGTTTCGGGGGTGCACAGGGAAAGCTGCTCCCACACGGGATTTCTATACGACCCTTGTACATCAGCAGTTGTTCCTCAGATCAGAGCAGCTGGAAAAGTGAAAGGATTCCCAAAGGAATCATTTGCAGTCTTCAGGCTGCAAGGTTTTTAAGGTTGTAAAGCTGATAAGGAGGGAGAAGGTGCTGGGTAAGAAGAGGGGGATGTGGTTGGGTCTTCCCTGCCTGCGGCAGCAGCGGTGCCCATCACCGACCCACCAAGTCCCCTGGGAGAAGGGGCTTTGGCTAATGGTTCCCAGCACATTCCTGTTTGGGGTGGATGCTCCTGTGCCTGCTCCTCCTGAGGCTGTTTCAAGGTCAGTTTTAAGCTCTGCAGGGACACGGTGGACGTGGTGACCTGCAAAGGGGCTGTGATGTGCCCCTGCCCTCCCACTCCAGCCACCTCTGGCCGGCAAGCCTGGGGCTGGGGCTGTGTCCCACCAGCAGCCTCATAGCAAACGAGTTTTTGTAATTTTACCACTCCAACAAAAGCTATTTTTACAGCGAGTCCTTCCAAAATAGAAACCAAAAACACCCGTGGGCGGTTGACCAAGCCCTGGTGCTGCAGGACTGGTTGCTCAGTGGGGGACAGGGACTGGGACATCAGATGGGGGCATCAGGGATGGCAAACCCTGTTCAGCACTGCACTGGTGGGTCTAGGGACCATTTGCAAAAGTTGATGTCCCCAAACCTGGCCGAACAAGTGGTGTGGCCGGGATGGCTGGTTCAGCCAAGCGCTGCCGACTGCTCTCACCTTTCCCTTTTCCCGGGATAAATTCACAGATAACGTGTTTGTTGCCGCAGAGCATCAGGGTCCTCCGGGTTTTCATCACACACAGCATTGGGCTCCTCCAAGTTTTCATTACACAGCCTCGGAAAGGCTTTGCTTCCTTTCTTTTTGGGGTCTCCTTCTTCACGGCACATGCTGAGCCATTTGGTCTCCTTCTTTGTGGCATTTCAAAGCGGGATCAGAAATTCCAGGGAGAAAGCTGTAAAAGGGGGAACAGGATCGTCCATGGCCAAGGCAAAAAGGACGGGTGTGAGGGAAGCACCTCCCAGAGGGGTGCTGAGCCCACTCGTCTATTCTGCAGACTTTTTGCCCTATAAAATACACCCCTGAATAGCTTGAAGGTTTTTTTACAAACTGAGAGGACCTTTGTCTCCATCAGGAGAGCAGAAACCACCAAAGCAGAGGATTTGACTCATTTGCCCCTAAGTTCAAAGTGACCCTTTACAAAGAAGGGAAAAAAAAAAAAACCACAACCAAACAAAAACCCAACAAAACCGGGAGAGAGAAAGCCAGGGAGCAGCTTTACAAAACACCATTGAGAAACTGTCCTGTCACACCCCGTTTTTCTGAGCAACATCCCCACCCCGCAGCAGATAAGTGCTGAGCCCTCCCCGGTGCTGCCCAGCCCCAGACACCTTCCCTGGCTGAGCAGCTCCGGATCCTCATCGCCCATCCAAATCCTCCCCGGACAGAGAGCGACTTGGCAAGGCCACCGGTGGGATTTAGGGAACTTAATGAGACTTAGCAGAAAAAAATTATTCGAATTATTCGCATCTAGTTCGAAGGGCAATAAGCTAATTGCTCTGGGCAGCGCTGAGCAGCCCATCGATGGCATTTCTAGAGCAGGGACTTATTTTCTACTGGGGGTTTCTAGCTGAGGGGTGTGGGGTTGGGTACAGGGGAAGGGCAATGCCTGATGGTGCTCCTCTACTGGGTTGTACTGGGTTCCTCCCAGTCTGCGCTGGTGTGGCTCTGTAAGGAGCCGAGGGATGGAGGGGGACCCTGTCACTGCAGGGTCCAGATGGGATCAGGGCTCTGGGTGTTGGAGAGGACTACTTATTGTGGAGTTTCTTTTAATAACAGATGGTGAATGAAATTCTGTTTTCTGGTATACAAGATTTAAAATCTCTCCTTTGGCTGCGGGGGGTTTGTGCGGGACTTGCAGAGCACGGGTGGGCTCACTGACCTGCTGGGATCCTGTGGCTCCAGCCCCAACATCAGAGGAGGGGATCGGCTGCAGGACCATTCCCAGCCCAGCCAGCACCCTCCTGGGGTGCAGGACACAGCTCCCCATCTCTGCTCTGCCCTCCTCCGACCTGCCCTGAGGACGAAGCCAAAGCACAGGCAGCACGATGTGGGCAGCCCCAGCGGCCATCTCTCTCTGCCTCCGTGAGTTATACGTCTTATCCCCACAAACCTGACCTTGCCCCAGGACCCCCCTTCCAACCCCGGGCTCCGGGGATGCTCCAAGCCCACGGTGCTTTTCATTCCCAACCCACGTGGCTTTGGTGCTCCCTGTGTTCTGCCTCCTGCTCCCATGAGCATCCGCAGGTGGTGGGAGTTTTCCCAGCCACAGCCCCTTAGAAATCTGCACAAATGTATTCCCAGGGGCAGATTTATCACTTTTTGCCTTCCAAACTCCCCCCGTGAGGCACCCCGGGTTGCTTGGGCTGGCAGAGGCTGCAGGGTGGTACAGGGGCTGCACAGCATTCACCAGCATTTACTAAGTATTATTAAATTGACAAAGAAAAGGACCTTTCCAAGACTTTAAACTGGGAGCTGCTTTATAACAGCCCCTGACCGCCCGCACATACGGTCCTGGATGTTTCATAACAGGGATTTTTTTATAACCCACTCCCACTTTGTTGCAGGTTTCTCCGCAGACCTCGTGAAAGCAGCCGTGGTGAGTCACTGCCGGCAGCTCCGGTGGCTCCAAATACACCAGGGCTTTGCCAAAACATGGCAGGAGTGGCAGAGCTGCCACAGTTCCCCCCATCCCCAGCTTCAGGGAGGCAAATCCATCGCCTCCCTGCTGTCCCCCTGTGCAGCCCATGGCTCCATCCCTGCCCTGTCCCATCCTTTCCCACCCCTCGCTCACCTGCTGCCCAGCATCCTTCCTACCCTGCTCCCAAACCGAGGGCTAGGACCCTAAACCTGACAGTCACCCAGTTCCCCCCAGCACTGGAGAACCAGGGACAGACCCGCTGTTGAAGAGTCCCTACTCCTGAGAGTGGCTGTGGTGGCTTTTGCCCCCACGTGTAGCCCAGGGCAACCGCAGGGCTGCTGCCCTTCTCAGAGGCTTGTGGGCAGCAGTGGCCAGTCTGGGCACTGTGGCCTCCTCAGACCCCATTCCCCACTCGGTCCCTGTGTTTAAAAGCCCTTTGTTCCTTGCTGCCACTGAATGTCCCCGTGTCCTCCTCCTCAGGTCACCCTGATCTTCGGAGCTGTTCTGTCTGCCACCGAACAACACGCCGAGTGAGTACCAACCCCAGCCAGGGTCTCTGACAAGCGGGAGGGTTTTGGGGGGCACAGGCAGTGGGGCCAGCGTGGGTGGATGTAGCATTTCTCCCCCCATCCATGTCTTGGCTGCTGTGACAGGTCACTTGGGCTGGGGAGGATTTAGAGCCTTGTGCAGCCGGTTCTGGTGCCGGCGCCCAGGCTGGGGTTTCAGCTGCGTCGGCTTTTGTTATAGCACAAACACACCAAGAATTTCCTTTCCTTTATGGGTCACGCAGACACAACAGGAGCCTCCCCCGAGCCAAAAATCCAGGCTCCGCTGGTTTTCACTCTTTGGGTGCAAAGTCCAGGCTACGGTTGGCACCTCCGCCACCCCCCTCTGCCATGGGGATGGGCACCTTCATGGCTGCAGGGCATCCCCTTTGGCACCACCACGGTACCAGGGCTGGGGGATGTTTCCACTGCTCCCCAGGTTATTCCCACTTACCCCACTGTCAAGGTGAAGGGGGATTTCCCATGGGAACAAGCGGATTCTTCCTCCATGGGGTGTCGGGGACCTAAAGTGGAGGGTGAAATGCAACTGTTCCTCCCCAACGCAGCCTCTCCAGCTCGGTCCTGCGAGGTTTCCAGTGCATCCCAGCCAGCGACCTGCCTGCTGCCGATGTCCTCGCCTTTGCCCAGGGTCTGCAAAATGAAACAGCGGAGCTGAGCGGTGCCCAGGTGGGCTGGGGCAGGGGCAGCAGACCCCAACAGGGTGCAGGGAGCCGGGGGGTGCCAGGGAAAAGGGGTTCTCACCACTTTGGCGTTGTCAAGAAAAGCCTCTCTCTGCCCAGCTCTCCTGCCTGGCCAGGCTGCTCGCTGCCAAGAACCTGACGGCCCATTTCAGCAGGTACCCACCAGACCTGCTGCTCTTCTTCGAGTGAGTATCAAGGGCAGCAAACAGCTGTGGTTTTGGTGCCCAATCTCTGAGGCTGGCACATGCCAGGGCACGCAGGAGGTCTGCCTAGGAGAAGAGTATTATGAAACCTGCATTGCAATGCCTGCCTCCGCGGGCACCTTCAGACCCACATGGGGCATTTCCAGCCCTGTAGACCCCCTGGTCCTCTCCTCGCCCTTCTCCTCTCTGAGGCTAGGGCCATGCTGGCCATGGCATGGGATGCATGGGGTTGGGTAGCCCCCATCCTGTGCTCAAGGTGTTCTCCCCAGGGTAAGAGGAGACCCCCCAGCCCCCTGAGCTCATTGCTCAGAAGGGATTCCCATGCTCCCCCCACAAAAAGCAACATTGAAGATCTCCTGCCTGGACATGACAAGCCCTTCGCCCTGTTCCTCCCTGCCACACTGACTCTTCATAGAATTGTAGAATGATATGGGGTTGGAAGGGACCTCTGGAGATCATCTAGTCCAACCCCCCCCGCCAAAGCAGGTCCACCCAGAGCAGGTTGCACAGGAACATGTCCAGGCGGGTTTTGAATGTTTCCAAAGAAGGAGACTCCATCACCTCTCTGGGCAGCCTGTTCCAGGGCTCTGCCACCCTCACAGTAAGGAAGTTCCTTCTCATGTTTAGGTGGAACTTCTTATACTCAAGTTTGTGCCCATTTCCTCTTGTCCTGTCACTGGGCACCACTGACTCTTGCTCCCTGCAGCTCGGCCGAGGTGCGTGGTGAGACCTGCCAAGAGTTTTACGCCCGGGCTTCCCGTGGGAACCTGGATCTGCTGCCCAGAGGCTCATCCCGACGGACGGGGCTGCTGCGCAGGGCACTGACCTGCCTGGTGAGTGAGGACCGAGCCAGAGGTGTCCAGGGTCCCCTCCACCCCTCACTGGGTGTTTATATGAGGGCTGGATCATCTCTCCCAGGGGGTGAGGAGCAGCCGCCTGCACCCCGAGCAGCTCAGCAGCCTCGGGGCGCTGGTGTGTGACATGGAGCCTGAGACCATCACAGCCTCAGATCCTGGCATCCTGGAGAACCTGAAGCTCTGCCCAGTGCTGACAGAGGCCCAGCAGGATGCCATCAACGCTGTGCTCCTTGGAGGGGGCACAGTGTATGGGTAAGGAGCCTCCACCTGCTCTTACGGGGTGGACAATGAGCTGGAGGGATGGTGTACCCATGAGGATGCTGAGCTGGTCCTTTTCCCCATGGCTGCAGGGATCCTTCGAGCTGGGATTTACGGACTCTGCAAAATTTGGGGCCGCTCGTGCTGGCTTTGAACCAGACCACGCTGAGCTTGGTGGCTGAGGTAAGCCCCCTCCTCGAGACCTTGGGGCAAGTTGCCCATCAACCAGGCCAGCCCTGAGGCTGGGGGACCCAGCACCCTCTTCCCCCCTCCCCGGCAGGCAGTGCGGGAGGCTTTTGGCAGGAGCATCGCAGCCACATACAGCACCCAGGGACGTTCCCAGAGGGAGAAATCCCTGACCCTCCTCAGGGCCTTCGCAGCAGCGTCGGCTTCATCTCACCCCAGGCTGAAGAGGAGCGCAGACAGTGAGTGTTCCCCTTCACTATGGCCAGACCAGACCAGTTCAGAGCTCTTGGGGGAAGGAAAAATGCCCCTGGGCTGGTCAGCATCTGGGTGCTCCTAGGGAGAGGGACAGGACCAGGCAGAAAGCTGTAGGACACCCTTGAAATAACTGGGGAGACGTCCTTACAGCAGACTGGGGTGATTGCTCTTACCTGTGAGCAGGGATATGCTGGAAGCGGAGACAGAAAACTCCTGGAGCTGGGTGGGAGCAGCACCAGAGGAGGATGCTGCCAGACTGGAGGATGCTCATGAGGGTGATGTGGGAAAGGGTTCATTTTCAAGTTGCCTTCAACAGGACAAAGCACACATGGTCTGCAGAGAAATCACCAGGTTTAACTTTAAGGAATGAAAGCAAATAAGGCACCTTCATGGGCTGGGGACCCAGGGGATGGGAGGAGGATTCTCAGTCTCACCTGGCAGGATGGCTGGAGTGTTGTTATTGGAATTCCCTGGTCTTTCACTGGGGCTCTTCTGAGGGGCTCTGGGACACTGTGGTAGGACCAGCGCCAGGCGGGAGGGAGAAAATACCATCTGCCTGACGTGCCCTCTGTACCCACAGGCTGCCTGTCCGCGCCCGTCACAGCCAGCACCATCTCTGACTCCCTCTTAGTCCTTGACTACAGCACCAGCGAGCAGCTTGACCTCTGCCTGAGCAATGAGGTCTTAAAAGCAAACCTGAAGCCTCTGCTGGATCAGCCGCTCCCCAAGGAGTACCTCCAAGTCATGAAAAAAAAGCTGGAGCAGGTGATGGGTGCCACAGGGTGGGAGACTCCACACAGCCCCCCGTTAGCATGGGCACACTCTGGGACAAGCTGCAGGAATGGGTATCACAGAATCACAGAATGATACAGGGTTGGAAGGGACCTCTGGAGATCATCTAGTCCAACCCCCCTGCTAAAGCAGGTTGCACAGGAACGTGCCCAGGCAAGGTTTGAATGTCTCTAGAGGAGACTCCACCACCTCTCTAGGCAGCCTCCTCCAGGGCTCTGCCACTCTCAAAGTAAAGAAGTTCCTCGTCATATTTAGGTGGAACTTCTTATATTCAAGTTTATGCCCATTTCCTCTTGTCCTATCCCTGGGCACCACTGAAAAAAGACTGGTCCCATCCTCTTGACACCCTCCCTTTCAGTATTTATAAGCATTGATCAGATCCCCCCTCAGCCTTCTCTTCTCCAGACCCAAGTCCCTCAGCCTCTCCTCCTCGTAAGAGAGATGCTCCAGGCCCCTCACCATCTTTGTAGCCCTCTGCTGTCCCCTCTGCTGTACGGGTCAGTGCATCACCCCCTGACAAGCCCTGAGCATCCTCCTCCACAAAGCCTGGGTTTGTGGAGAACCTGAGCTAAGGTTCCTGACGTTGGCCGAGTGGGCTTTGGAGTGAGCACAAACCACACCTCTGCATTTCCAGCCCAATGCTCCATTTTCGTCCCAGTGGGTCCCCACAGAGCCCAGCGCTGACTCCACATCTGCACTTTCTGTATGCCGTGGCTTCCCTCACATCTGGGGCTGGGCCTAGACAGATTTTAGCAGCGATTAGGGATTAGGATGGGTTAATTTTTTAATGTACACATCATCCATCTGGCCAGTGGATGCCCCTTTCCTAATTCTGGGCCTTCAGCAGCAGAGTCAGTGTGTCATGTACCAGCTTAGAGTGACCCCAAAGCTTTACATCCCTGTCCCAGGGCTCAGGTATAGCCGAGGCAGCACCAACGCTGCCTTTACCATGAGTGTGATGGACGTATCTGCAAACCCTCAGTGCTTGGATGCTAAAGACCAGCCCAGCAAAGGGAGAGAACATCCCGGGTGCAGCTTCAGGGGGTGTGTGTCCCATTCCCTTTGCTCCCGGGTGTTTTGCCCTGGAGCTGGGCTGTGCCACGGGTGCAGGAGAGGTCCCTGCCTGCCCGACCCTGCTCTCACGCTTCCCTCCCTGCCTCGGCTCACGTGTGGGTTTTTTAAAGGTTTGTTGAAGGCGAGTGAGTTGATACGAATGGATTTTAAACTTTTTTTTTTAAAATTTCTATGAGAAGAATCCAGTCTTTTAGCAGTTCTGAAATACGGGTGGTCTCCGAAATGCGTGTATTTTTAGTATTTCTGTGGTCAGAATAGCCAGCAGCCCAAAGCTTTTTTAATAGATCTTATTATTCCTTATGATCTATTTTAATAGATCTTATTACTCTACGAGCATTGCCTTTTCTTAGCACCCACTCTTATTCTGGATGTGGACCTAACTCCTGCTGAGGCAGGTCAGAAGACACAAGCCCCTTTCTGCTTTGCACAGACGAGAAGGAATCTGTTTTTGTCCCGTGGCGTGGCTCCTTTCTGGTGGGTTTCTGTGTGGGTGTCAGCACCCAGGTGTGCCACGGGCAGGACCTACGGGTGGGCAGTTTGGGAGAGCTCTGGAGCAGCGAAAGCTGCTGAGGAAATGGTTAAAGCTAAAAGAAAGGCTGAGGACTGTCGGGAAGAGTGGGAAGGAGCTCATCTCACAACGGAACTCAGCTTTGCAAGATGCCAAGAGGAGTTTCTCTGGAAACTTTGCAGGATGCAAGATGCCAAGAGGAGTTTTTCCTGCAGTCTCTGGAGGACGTTTTGGAAATGAAGAGAGCGGGGGTGGGCTGGGGAGGGACAGAGGTGGCTGGAGCCCCTTGCACAGAGAGCACCCATCCCTGGGTATTCAGCACCAAGCCACCACATCAGCACATGCCCGGAGCTATCGTCACCTCACAAGCCCTGTCCCATTTAAAATGCACCTGACAGTGGTTTCATGCAACTCATGTTCCTACCCTGAGGGGAAATAAAACAGCACAACCCTCTCCTTGTGGGTGAATGCAGTGTGCCGGGTCACCGAAACCCCACGGGGTATTGCCTCACCTGTGTCCCCAGGGGCTGGTGGGTCCAGGCTCACTGTGCTGTGGCACATGGCTCGGGACAAGGTGGCCGTCACCTTGTCCTTTGGTGGCTTGGCACAAAGTGCTGCCATGAACTGCAGGGTGGGGACATGCTCCCGGCTCTGCAGGAAGCAGCCCTGAGCACCAAGAGGGGACCACAGGCTGGTGAGCTGGTGGCAGAGGGCTCAGGGGGGTTTGGACGAGCAGAAAATCCATCTCCTTCCTCCCAGGCCCTGTCCCTGCCCGTCCCATCTCTCAGGAGTGGCCGGGGAGAGGCAGCCACAGGCAGGTCCTGAAGCTGTAAATTAATGTCATGAACTTGTTTGCCAAAGAATGAATGTGGGTGACGTGCACAGGAAAAGTTACAGGTCAGACCTGCAGCGTCAGAGACGGGGCGCAGCCTTCCCTTCCCACAGGCCCTGCTGTGGGAACGGGCCCCGCTGTGCAACGGGGGACACGTCCTGCAGCTGCACCTCCGGGACGAGGCCACGGGGCCAGCAGTCACTGAGGGTGACATGGGGGACACACACCGGTCCCCACGCACAAGGGGATGGTGAGGAACCATCGCTCACTCCACCGTCTACGTTGAGGAGCCCCTGCACCTCCCGTCAGCCTTCGTGCATTGCACTTTTACCCGATGTTGCAGGAACCAGAGATAAATAAGCATTTTCCTTACCTTGCAGAGGGATGTTTTCCAGGCATCCTTCCCTGGCTTTCCCCCGGCGCCGTGTCCAGCCCTGCTCTCTCCTCTCTGCCATCACTGCCGCGGGGCCATGTGCCGCATCCTACGTGAATCCACTCCTGCATTCGGACCCAGGGTGGGGGGGTGTTGTGATGGGGGTGTGTGCCTCGTGACGTGCTGTACAGCTTGCAATAACCCTTATTTCTTGTTGCACGTGACCGTAGTAAACCATTTACCTGTGCACCCTGCGGTTCCCCCTCTGGTCTCTCGGTCCGCGCTGCTCGGGATGGCACATTCCGCGGTGGGGCCGGTGCGGTGCCGGGAGATTCCAGGAATGAGCCCAGACCAGCACGACGGGACTGGCCCCAGGGCTCTGACACGGCCAACCTGTTGTTTGAACACCGGTGCTCATCCTCACCCTGCTGAAATCCTCCCCCCTGGCCGAAACCACTGGATTTATCTACCCGAAAGCCCTCCCGGATTTAGTAACTCTGGCACGGGTGACTAAGGATGCCCAGGGTGGCTGGGGCACATGCCACTGCCCCGGCCCTTCCCCTGCCTGTCACCCACTCTGTCCAATACCAGCATCTGGGATTGTCCCAAACCAAATAGCAGAGGCAGGGGAAAAACTCCTGATTTTGAAACACTGCAGCAGGAAACGGGGGAGCCATTTCCTGCAGAGCCATGGGGCTGCCGATGTTTCGGGGGTGCACAGGGAAAGCTGCTCCCACACGGGATTTCTATACGACCCTTGTACATCAGCAGTTGTTCCTCAGATCAGAGCAGCTGGAAAAGTGAAAGGATTCCCAAAGGAATCATTTGCAGTCTTCAGGCTGCAAGGTTTTTAAGGTTGTAAAGCTGATAAGGAGGGAGAAGGTGCTGGGTAAGAAGAGGGGGATGTGGTTGGGTCTTCCCTGCCTGCGGCAGCAGCGGTGCCCATCACCGACCCACCAAGTCCCCTGGGAGAAGGGGCTTTGGCTAATGGTTCCCAGCACATTCCTGTTTGGGGTGGATGCTCCTGTGCCTGCTCCTCCTGAGGCTGTTTCAAGGTCAGTTTTAAGCTCTGCAGGGACACGGTGGACGTGGTGACCTGCAAAGGGGCTGTGATGTGCCCCTGCCCTCCCACTCCAGCCACCTCTGGCCGGCAAGCCTGGGGCTGGGGCTGTGTCCCACCAGCAGCCTCATAGCAAACGAGTTTTTGTAATTTTACCACTCCAACAAAAGCTATTTTTACAGCGAGTCCTTCCAAAATAGAAACCAAAAACACCCGTGGGCGGTTGACCAAGCCCTGGTGCTGCAGGACTGGTTGCTCAGTGGGGGACAGGGACTGGGACATCAGATGGGGGCATCAGGGATGGCAAACCCTGTTCAGCACTGCACTGGTGGGTCTAGGGACCATTTGCAAAAGTTGATGTCCCCAAACCTGGCCGAACAAGTGGTGTGGCCGGGATGGCTGGTTCAGCCAAGCGCTGCCGACTGCTCTCACCTTTCCCTTTTCCCGGGATAAATTCACAGATAACGTGTTTGTTGCCGCAGAGCATCAGGGTCCTCCGGGTTTTCATCACACACAGCATTGGGCTCCTCCAAGTTTTCATTACACAGCCTCGGAAAGGCTTTGCTTCCTTTCTTTTTGGGGTCTCCTTCTTCACGGCACATGCTGAGCCATTTGGTCTCCTTCTTTGTGGCATTTCAAAGCGGGATCAGAAATTCCAGGGAGAAAGCTGTAAAAGGGGGAACAGGATCGTTCATGGCCAAGGCAAAAAGGACGGGTGTGAGGGAAGCACCTCCCAGAGGGGTGCTGAGCCCACTCGTCTATTCTGCAGACTTTTTGCCCTATAAAATACACCCCTGAATAGCTTGAAGGTTTTTTTACAAACTGAGAGGACCTTTGTCTCCATCAGGAGAGCAGAAACCACCAAAGCAGAGGATTTGACTCATTTGCCCCTAAGTTCAAAGTGACCCTTTACAAAGAAGGGAAAAAAAAAAAAACCACAACCAAACAAAAACCCAACAAAACCGGGAGAGAGAAAGCCAGGGAGCAGCTTTACAAAACACCATTGAGAAACTGTCCTGTCACACCCCGTTTTTCTGAGCAACATCCCCACCCCGCAGCAGATAAGTGCTGAGCCCTCCCCGGTGCTGCCCAGCCCCAGACACCTTCCCTGGCTGAGCAGCTCCGGATCCTCATCGCCCATCCAAATCCTCCCCGGACAGAGAGCGACTTGGCAAGGCCACCGGTGGGATTTAGGGAACTTAATGAGACTTAGCAGAAAAAAATTATTCGAATTATTCGCATCTAGTTCGAAGGGCAATAAGCTAATTGCTCTGGGCAGCGCTGAGCAGCCCATCGATGGCATTTCTAGAGCAGGGACTTATTTTCTACTGGGGGTTTCTAGCTGAGGGGTGTGGGGTTGGGTACAGGGGAAGGGCAATGCCTGATGGTGCTCCTCTACTGGGTTGTACTGGGTTCCTCCCAGTCTGCGCTGGTGTGGCTCTGTAAGGAGCCGAGGGATGGAGGGGGACCCTGTCACTGCAGGGTCCAGATGGGATCAGGGCTCTGGGTGTTGGAGAGGACTACTTATTGTGGAGTTTCTTTTAATAACAGATGGTGAATGAAATTCTGTTTTCTGGTATACAAGATTTAAAATCTCTCCTTTGGCTGCGGGGGGTTTGTGCGGGACTTGCAGAGCACGGGTGGGCTCACTGACCTGCTGGGATCCTGTGGCTCCAGCCCCAACATCAGAGGAGGGGATCGGCTGCAGGACCATTCCCAGCCCAGCCAGCACCCTCCTGGGGTGCAGGACACAGCTCCCCATCTCTGCTCTGCCCTCCTCCGACCTGCCCTGAGGACGAAGCCAAAGCACAGGCAGCACGATGTGGGCAGCCCCAGCGGCCATCTCTCTCTGCCTCCGTGAGTTATACGTCTTATCCCCACAAACCTGACCTTGCCCCAGGACCCCCCTTCCAACCCCGGGCTCCGGGGATGCTCCAAGCCCACGGTGCTTTTCATTCCCAACCCACGTGGCTTTGGTGCTCCCTGTGTTCTGCCTCCTGCTCCCATGAGCATCCGCAGGTGGTGGGAGTTTTCCCAGCCACAGCCCCTTAGAAATCTGCACAAATGTATTCCCAGGGGCAGATTTATCACTTTTTGCCTTCCAAACTCCCCCCGTGAGGCACCCCGGGTTGCTTGGGCTGGCAGAGGCTGCAGGGTGGTACAGGGGCTGCACAGCATTCACCAGCATTTACTAAGTATTATTAAATTGACAAAGAAAAGGACCTTTCCAAGACTTTAAACTGGGAGCTGCTTTATAACAGCCCCTGACCGCCCGCACATACGGTCCTGGATGTTTCATAACAGGGATTTTTTTATAACCCACTCCCACTTTGTTGCAGGTTTCTCCGCAGACCTCGTGAAAGCAGCCGTGGTGAGTCACTGCCGGCAGCTCCGGTGGCTCCAAATACACCAGGGCTTTGCCAAAACATGGCAGGAGTGGCAGAGCTGCCACAGTTCCCCCCATCCCCAGCTTCAGGGAGGCAAATCCATCGCCTCCCTGCTGTCCCCCTGTGCAGCCCATGGCTCCATCCCTGCCCTGTCCCATCCTTTCCCACCCCTCGCTCACCTGCTGCCCAGCATCCTTCCTACCCTGCTCCCAAACCGAGGGCTAGGACCCTAAACCTGACAGTCACCCAGTTCCCCCCAGCACTGGAGAACCAGGGACAGACCCGCTGTTGAAGAGTCCCCACTCCTGAGAGTGGCTGTGGTGGCTTTTGCCCCCACGTGTAGCCCAGGGCAACCGCAGGGCTGCTGCCCTTCTCAGAGGCTTGTGGGCAGCAGTGGCCAGTCTGGGCACTGTGGCCTCCTCAGACCCCATTCCCCACTCGGTCCCTGTGTTTAAAAGCCCTTTGTTCCTTGCTGCCACTGAATGTCCCCGTGTCCTCCTCCTCAGGTCACCCTGATCTTCGGAGCTGTTCTGTCTGCCACCGAACAACACGCCGAGTGAGTACCAACCCCAGCCAGGGTCTCTGACAAGCGGGAGGGTTTTGGGGGGCACAGGCAGTGGGGCCAGCGTGGGTGGATGTAGCATTTCTCCCCCCATCCATGTCTTGGCTGCTGTGACAGGTCACTTGGGCTGGGGAGGATTTAGAGCCTTGTGCAGCCGGTTCTGGTGCCAGCGCCCAGGCTGGGGTTTCAGCTGCGTCGGCTTTTGTTATAGCACAAACACACCAAGAATTTCCTTTCCTTTATGGGTCACGCAGACACAACAGGAGCCTCCCCCGAGCCAAAAATCCAGGCTCCGCTGGTTTTCACTCTTTGGGTGCAAAGTCCAGGCTACGGTTGGCACCTCCGCCACCCCCCTCTGCCATGGGGATGGGCACCTTCATGGCTGCAGGGCATCCCCTTTGGCACCACCACGGTACCAGGGCTGGGGGATGTTTCCACTGCTCCCCAGGTTATTCCCACTTACCCCACTGTCAAGGTGAAGGGGGATTTCCCATGGGAACAAGCGGATTCTTCCTCCATGGGGTGTCGGGGACCTAAAGTGGAGGGTGAAATGCAACTGTTCCTCCCCAACGCAGCCTCTCCAGCTCGGTCCTGCGAGGTTTCCAGTGCATCCCAGCCAGCGACCTGCCTGCTGCCGATGTCCTCGCCTTTGCCCAGGGTCTGCAAAATGAAACAGCGGAGCTGAGCGGTGCCCAGGTGGGCTGGGGCAGGGGCAGCAGACCCCAACAGGGTGCAGGGAGCCGGGGGGTGCCAGGGAAAAGGGGTTCTCACCACTTTGGCGTTGTCAAGAAAAGCCTCTCTCTGCCCAGCTCTCCTGCCTGGCCAGGCTGCTCGCTGCCAAGAACCTGACGGCCCATTTCAGCAGGTACCCACCAGACCTGCTGCTCTTCTTCGAGTGAGTATCAAGGGCAGCAAACAGCTGTGGTTTTGGTGCCCAATCTCTGAGGCTGGCACATGCCAGGGCACGCAGGAGGTCTGCCTAGGAGAAGAGTATTATGAAACCTGCATTGCAATGCCTGCCTCCGCGGGCACCTTCAGACCCACATGGGGCATTTCCAGCCCTGTAGACCCCCTGGTCCTCTCCTCGCCCTTCTCCTCTCTGAGGCTAGGGCCATGCTGGCCATGGCATGGGATGCATGGGGTTGGGTAGCCCCCATCCTGTGCTCAAGGTGTTCTCCCCAGGGTAAGAGGAGACCCCCCAGCCCCCTGAGCTCATTGCTCAGAAGGGATTCCCATGCTCCCCCCACAAAAAGCAACATTGAAGATCTCCTGCCTGGACATGACAAGCCCTTCGCCCTGTTCCTCCCTGCCACACTGACTCTTCATAGAATTGTAGAATGATATGGGGTTGGAAGGGACCTCTGGAGATCATCTAGTCCAACCCCCCCCGCCAAAGCAGGTCCACCCAGAGCAGGTTGCACAGGAACATGTCCAGGCGGGTTTTGAATGTTTCCAAAGAAGGAGACTCCATCACCTCTCTGGGCAGCCTGTTCCAAGGCTCTGCCACCCTCCCAGTAAGGCAGTTCCTTCTCCTGTTTAGGGGGAACTTCTTATACTCAAGTTTGTGCCCATTTCCTCTTGTCCTGTCACTGGGCACCACTGACTCTTGCTCCCTGCAGCTCGGCCGAGGTGCATGGTGAGACCTGCCAAGAGTTTTACGCCCGGGCTTCCCATGGGAACCTGGATCTGCTGCCCCGAGGCTCATCCCGACGGACGGGGCTGCTGCGCAGGGCACTGACCTGCCTGGTGAGTGAGGACCGAGCCAGAGGTGTCCAGGGTCCCCTCCACCCCTCACTGGGTGTTTATATGAGGGCTAACCCAGGGGTGTTCCAGGGTCCCTGCCACCCCTCACTGGGTGTTTATATGAGGGCTGGGTCATCTCTCCCAGGGGGTGAGGAGCAGCCGCCTGCACCCCGAGCAGCTCAGCAGCCTCGGGGCACTGGTGTGTGACATGGAGCCTGAGACCATCACGGCCTCAGACCCCGGCATCCTGGAGAACCTGAAGCTCTGCCCAGTGCTGACAGAGGCCCAGCAGGATGCCATCAACGCTGTGCTCCTTGGAGGGGGCACAGTGTATGGGTAAGGAGCCTCCACCTGCTCTTACGGGGTGGACAATGAGCTGGAGGGATGGTGTACCCATGAGGATGCTGAGCTGGTCCTTTTCCCCATGGCTGCAGGGATCCTTCGAGCTGGGATTTACGGACTCTGCAAAATTTGGGGCCGCTCGTGCTGGCTTTGAACCAGACCACGCTGAGCTTGGTGGCTGAGGTAAGCCCCCTCCTCGAGACCTTGGGGCAAGTTGCCCATCAACCAGGCCAGCCCTGAGGCTGGGGGACCCAGCACCCTCTTCCCCCCTCCCCGGCAGGCAGTGCGGGAGGCTTTTGGCAGGAGCATCGCAGCCACATACAGCACCCAGGGACGTTCCCAGAGGGAGAAATCCCTGACCCTCCTCAGGGCCTTCGCAGCAGCGTCGGCTTCATCTCACCCCAGGCTGAAGAGGAGCGCAGACAGTGAGTGTTCCCCTTCACTATGGCCAGACCAGACCAGTTCAGAGCTCTTGGGGGAAGGAAAAATGCCCCTGGGCTGGTCAGCATCTGGGTGCTCCTAGGGAGAGGGACAGGACCAGGCAGAAAGCTGTAGGACACCCTTGAAATAACTGGGGAGACGTCCTTACAGCAGACTGGGGTGATTGCTCTTACCTGTGAGCAGGGATATGCTGGAAGCGGAGACAGAAAACTCCTGGAGCTGGGTGGGAGCAGCACCAGAGGAGGATGCTGCCAGACTGGAGGATGCTCATGAGGGTGATGTGGGAAAGGGTTCATTTTCAAGTTGCCTTCAACAGGACAAAGCACACATGGTCTGCAGAGAATCACCAGGTTTAACTTTAAGGAATGAAAGCCAATAAGGCACCTTCATGAGCTGGGGACCCAGGGGATGGGAGGATGATTCTCAGACTCACCTGGCAGGATGGCTTGAGTGTTGTTATTGCAATTCCCTGGTCTTTCACTGGGGCTCTTCTGAGGGGCTCTGGGACACTGTGGTAGGACCAGCGCCAGGCGGGAGGGAGAAAATACCATCTGCCTGACGTGCCCTCTCTGCCCACAGACTGCCTGTCCAGGCCCGTCACGGCCAGCACCATCTCTGACTCCCTCTTAGTCCTTGACTACAGCACCAGCGAGCAGCTTGACCTCTGCCTGAGCAATGAGGTCTTAAAAGCAAACCTGAAGCCTCTGCTGGATCAGCCGCTCCCCAAGGAGTACCTCCAAGTCATGAAAAAAAAGCTGGAGCAGGTGATGGGTGCCACAGGGTGGGAGACTCCGCACAGCCCCCCGTTAGCATGGGCACTCTGGGACAAGCTGCAGGAATGGGTATCACAGAATCACAGAATGATACAGGGTTGGAAGGGACCTCTGGAGATCATCTAGTCCAAACCCCCTGCCAAAGCAGGTCCACCTGGAGCAGGTTGCACAGGAACGTGTCCAGGCAAGGTTTGAATGTCTCTAGAGGAGACTCCATCACTTCTGGGCAGCCTGTTCCAGGGCTCTGCCACCTGCTAAGTAAAGAAGTTCCTCCTCATGTTTAGGTGGAACTTCTTATATTCAAGTTTATGCCCATTTCCTCTTGTCCTATCCCTGGGCACCACTGAAAAAAGACTGGTCCCATCCTCTTGACACCCTCCCTTTCAGTATTTATAAGCATTGATCAGATCCCCCCTCAGCTTTCTCTTCTCCAGACTAAAAGACCCAAGTCCCTCAGCCTCTCCTCCTAAGAGGAGGCCCATCATCATCTTTGTAGCCCTTTGCTGCACCCCCTCCAGCAGTTCCCTGTCGTTCAACTGTGGAGCCCAGAACTGTTCAAGAAGGACAGGGAAGGGTGTCACCAGCCATGGTGGGGAAGGAACCTGTGCCTGTTTCTGCCATCTTTTCCCTTCCCGGACCCTCTTTTCTGCCCCACTGGCCTGGCCCTACAGATTTACCCATCGGGGATCCCAGAGGACCAGCTGAAGCTGTTGGGGCCGCTGTCCCGCCAGTACACGGCGGAGGAGATCAGCCAGTGGCAGGTGACATCCAACGACACGCTCTTAGCCCTGCTCAACCCCTCGGATGGCAAGTGGAAGGCTCCCCAGGTAAAGCCCTGGCAGCAGCGGGGCACAGGGGCTGGTGAACCCAAACTGGGACCACTTGGTGCCCAAGCCCATCTCGGGGAGAGGGCAGTGCCCGAGGGTGGCTCGGTGGTTTTGCAGCACACACATTTCTACCAGGAGCATCTTCCTTCCCTGCCTGCGTGCAACCACAGCAACTGTGTTTCCCAGGTCCAGCAGCTTATCGCCAGGTACCAGGCCCTGGGGGGCACCTTGACTGGGTCCTTGCTCCGGGAACTGGGTGGGAGAAACCTGTGTAACCTGCAGGAGGAGCAGATCGAGGACATACCTCCAGAAGCAATCAGGTAAGCCACTTTTTAGGGATGCTTTTCAGTCCTGCGAGGCCCTTGGGGACCCCAGGAGAAGCGGATGGTGGGATGGCAGACTCCCACCTGCATTTCAGCTCTGCCCACTCGCAGGTAGCACGGTGGCACGGCCATGTCCTGCTCCCACCTGCTGCCTGAGCCACCGGCACCGCGGGCAGGGATAGACCACTCATCTCCCCCACCAACAACAGGGCTTTAGCTGTGGTTTGGGGTGGTGCCCCCAGTACTAACCTGCAACCCTTCCTCTCCCCAGGACTGCAGGACAATTAGACATTTCTTCTTGTTCCCAAACCAAGAAGGACCAGCTCTACAGAAAAGCCCAGGAGGCCTTTGCTGGCCAGGCTGGCACCACCAGGGCGTATTATTGCCAGATTTGGCCATACCTGGGTAGGTGTTTCAGTCTTCACCCTCCTTTCCACAGCGTTGGGTACCTTTTCCTCAGCCGGGGGGATTTACCCACACTAGAGACACATTTAGCAGCCTCCAGACCCCCCCCACAAAAGCGTTGGAAGTGTTTGCACATGTCTAGGTGCCCCGTACACTTTCTTTAAGGTGGAGCTCCAGCAAAGGACTTGAAAGACTTGGCTAAAGCTGGCGTTGCCATAGACATGGACATCGACACCTTCCTTGCCCTAAATCCCGATGAGCTGCAGGTACATTCCCCACCACGCTGCTCCTCTTTTCCCCGCTGAAGGGCAGGGCTAGTCAAGGGCTGAGCAGTGGGGTTTGAGGCTACAGCCCCATCAGACCACCAAGTCTCTATTTTTTTTACCTTTTTACATTTTTTTTTGGAAGTTATTACTTGCTCTACAGTCCCACTAGAAGAGCCCCTTGTGGTGAGGCCGGCTGTGAGGATGAACAAAGGTGTTGTTGTCCGTGTGTTGCAGAAACTCAGTGTCATGGACGTGAAATCTTTGCTTGGGGAAAACCTCCGTTACCTGAAGGAAGCTGAAAATGAGACCTCGGTGATGCGCTGGGTGAAGAGACAGTCCCAACAGGAACTGGACTGTGTCCTGGGAATCGACCTGCAAGGGGGGATGGGGGAGCCCAGCCCCACGGCCACCCCTCCTCACCCCACCACCTCGGCCAGTATCACCCCCACGGCCACCGTCTCTGTGCCCACCACCTTCCCCACTGTCCCCACCCCTACTGCCATTAGCAGCCTCCCCTCCACTAATTCAAGCACCATCCCCAACAAGGCCCCCACGCCAAGTGCTATCAGCCCGACCCCCCCTCACAACACTCCCCCACAGACTTCCACCACTGCCCCCAGTTCTGCTGGGAGTCCCCCTGCCACCTCCACCACCCAACCTGCTCCCACCACCATTGTCCTATGCTCCACCCACCAATCTGCCACCCCAAATAAGGTCACCCCCCCTGCTGCCACCCTCCTCACCACCATCCTTGCCACTGTCAACCCCAACACCACCTCTCCCAGCTCCGTCCCACCCCCTGCTGTCACACATGGGGCCACCACCACCAGCGTTGTTACTAACCCAACTCTTACCACCCGCAACACCAGTACCCCACTGGTGTCCATGAACCCCCCAGCACCTGGGGTTACCATCAACCCTGCTCCTGCCACCCGTAACACCAGTACCCCACTGGTGTCCACAAACCCCCCAGCACCTGGAGGTACCATCAACCCTGCTCCTCCCCCCCTGCTGCCACCCTCCTCACCACCATCCTTGCCACTGTCAACCCCAACACCACCTCTCCCAGCTCCGTCCCACCCCCTGCTCTCACACATGGGGCCACCACCACCAGCGTTGTTACTAACCCAACTCTTACCACCCGCAACACCAGTACCCCACTGGTGTCCATGAACCCCCCAGCACCTGGGGTTACCATCAACCCTGCTCCTGCCACCCGTAACACCACCACACCGAGCATCCACAGTGCTCCCAGCACCCTTGTCCCTAAATCCACTTCTGCACCCGCTACCACCACAACCACAGAAATGACCCTCCCTCCCCACAAGCCCTCCCCGACTCCTAACTCCAGTGTCTCCACCCAAGAGACTGTAGTCTCCTCCACGGCCAAGACTACAACGTTGGCTTGCAAGACCAGTGCCCCTCCAGCATTTCTTGGCTCCTCTTCCACCACCACCAGCAGTGAGACCACTAAAAACCCACCTGCAGGTGTGCCAGAGCCACCAAGACCAACACCTGGTGGATACATCAACCTGCAACCTGAAGCTGGTAAGGTGTGAATGTTCGGAGTCGGGAAAAGTTTAGGAACCGATGGTGAGGCAGAAGTCTTCAGAGACAAGCAGTAGCTGATCCACCTTCTTCCTGGCCAGATTCAATCTGCTGTGAGGCTTCCCACAGGAAACCCCAAGTAGTTTCTGGCTAGACAGGTAGCGACGTGGCTCTCCAGGGTGTCACAGCCCCTGGATCTGGACCACACTCCCTTCAGATCCCATGTACTCTGCAAGTCCAGCAAGTTGCACCTTAAGATGTCTCATCATGCATGGATGGCCCCCCTCAGCCACTCCGCAGAAAGCTGGAGTAATCCCAATAATGCCAATGCACTGCACTGTGTTTCCCAAGGTGAGGATATGGTCTTCCCCATTTCAGTGTCTCTGTAAAAGCAGCAGCCCTGTAAAAGCACTAAAATCTGAAGTCATTTAACCTGACAGAGCAGCATCTGTAGCTTTAGTGACTCAACAGATTTACTCTTGCTTTACGCTGGTGAAAGTAAGAAAATACTCAGTCCTGCTGACTGTTCACAGCCAGGTGACATTTGTAACTGGGGTGCAGGTATGGGCCATGTCACAACAGGCAGGAAAGTGTTATCCTGACACGTGCAATCCCATGGAGCACCTGAATCCCAAAGCAGCTCTACTGCCCTCACAGCTCACACGTGCTGTTTCTCTGGATAATCCAATTCTTTCTCATCTGTCTCCTCCACCCAGGATCAGGATCCAGACTCTCCTCCTGCCTGGTGCTCGTACTGACGACAGCCTCACTGCTGCGAGGGCTTCTCTGACACGGCCACCTCCAGCCCCAAACTCACTGGATCCCTCCTTTCATTTCCACCATCCTGCAAAAGAACGGTGCTGGCAAATTCTCTGTGGAACAGCAGAAACCCAGGAAAGGAATAGCATTTGGCCATTTGATACCAGCACAGAATTTGCTTATTAATTTTGAGGCTGGGCAGTGAAAGGAGGAGAGATATTTTTCCAACCCAAAGAAGCCCAAGAGGTACTTGTTAGCTAGTTGTTCTCTGTAATACAATCACCAGCAGCACTGACTGGTCTGACAATGCAGACAGCGGGCACAGTTCTGCCAGCTCGACTTGCACTTTTACTTCTAAGCAGTCCCACTGGGATCTGTTGAAACAGTGGGACAAACTCAGGGATTTGAGTTACTGGCTATTGCAGAAGTAGCAGAATATGGCCCAGCAACATCTGCTCAGAGATCCATTAAATTACATTTAACTTGTTTTATGAACTTACGAGACTTAGGATCAAGATTTGTTCAAGCTACGCCAAGCCTAGTTTAAGGGGTGATTAACTGAGGATAGTTTGTCTTGATTACTGTTGCAATGCTCTATAATAAAACATCAATCAACTTTTTTTTCCTAATCAAATGTGTTCTTTGGTGTCTTTAGTGCTTTGTATTGTAGTTTTTCTGGCTAGCTTACATGTAAACAGTTTCTGTTTCTCTTCCTCTGACTTTCTTCATTATCTAGTGTCTCCTCCTCCAATAGCTCTACTACAAGAAAGTGTTTCTCCCTCCAACTTGCAGATCTTCCACTGACTCGTTTTATTCTCCACGGGCTGAGGGGATTCTTGCACATCATTTGTTGAGAGTGAATCAAGGCACAAAGAGACAAACCAAGATTTTAGTCAGGGGATTGATGCTGTTACAAAATGCAGACTCTGTCTTACACTGGGCTCTCTCTCACCCCCCACTAGCCCCCTAGCACCCCAGGATGCAGGCAGTGGGGAAGTGTTTCTTGCCACCCAGAAGCCTGCACTGAAGGACAGACCAAGCTCTTTCTGTAAAGCACAGACAATAAACATTTGTAATGTCTTTCCAGACAGGTTCTCCTCCTGGGGTAAAAGGGGGATTTCAGGGGCTGGATGCAGGTTGCACTGAGGCTTTTTTTGGACAGAAATTCCCAATGAATGGAAAAAAAAGTGTTGAGAATCTTATACAAAGTTCTTATACCTTTCCTCCGAGGAAGCTGAGAACAGCCTCAGCTCTTTACTGCTGAGTAGTCAACACCAAAGAAAAGGAAAAGGCACGTCTGGCGGTTCTGACCATTTAATTTGGACTGATACCTGCAGACAGGAAGGTACGGGCAGGCTGAAAGAAGAGACGATGACAGCAACTCATCAATTTGCTTCTGGCATTTTTTACTTTAGAACCTTTAGAATCAGCTGGAAAACTTCACTCCCACTCAGAGGCCTTGGCAGCATCAAGAGACCAAGCTCTTTTGAGAAAAGTAACCATTAACATGCAGAACAACCAATTTTCTCACCCTTAAACCCACCAGGGCTGCACAGTAAAATATGGACATTCATTGTGTTGCACTAATATGGCTGGGGCTTACCTGGGCTTGGTCTGTACAAAAGGCAAAGATCCTGCTCTAAGAGTCTGAAATTTTCCCTTCAGACAGGACACTGGGAGTTTTTTTGAGTTATTTGAAAGACAAAGAACCTAAAAGTGAACCCTGAACTGCATAATAGTTGCCTGCTAGCACTGAGCACCCCCCGAGGCATGGCTGTCCCCAACAGGCTTCAGAGCAGGTCACAGGCTGGTCCTTCTCATCTAGCTTTCTCTTGAGGGAAGATTTTTCAAGACAAGACAGACATCATCAGGGAACTGGTAAGCAGAGCAGGCAGGAGGTGGAGTGTCATGGCCATGGTAGACAGAGAGGCTGAGGATGGCACTAGAGGAATAAGAGGGAGCATCAGTGCAAAGAAATCAACACTTGGACTTTTTAAAGCACAGTACTCAGAGGCCCCAACATAATACATACGCTAAAATTGAGGCCTGATAATGTTCATGTAGCCTTCTTGTGTTCCCCCAGTGAGTGAAACATTCAATTTATTTAATTCTGATTGTCGCTGCCTCTGGACCCACTCCCTGATGGGGGATTGGTTCTGCCAGTTGTGCAGATCATGAATATTTATTCCCAGCAAGTTCTGAACCTCAGGAATCGTCAGGCTCTAGGAGAAATCAAAGAGAGAGAATTACAGATATAAACACAGGGATGGAAATAATACCTCTGACCCAGGAACCAATGAGGTTTCTATTAGCAGAAATGTGAAGTACAAGGAAGACAAATTTCTGGTGAGTGATTTCAACTGGGACAATCTTCCCCTAGGTTCAGGGAATAAACACGATGGTTCCTCAAAAACTATTCCTGTTGTCCTCTGATGACAAGTCTCCTACACTCAAGAGGGAGCCCAAATCACTGGGATTTCTTCCAAAATTGATTATATTACTGCTAACACTCTTGTCAGAAGATTTGTCAGATAGCTGTGGACCGTAGTCTAATGGAAACCTCCTGTTCCCTGCTCTTGCCACTACTGCTATGAGAACCTGCTCTAAAGAAATTCCCCAGTAAGACTGGCTTAGCATCTATGTATGACTCCAAATTACATTTTTAAAGAAGTTTCAGGCCAGTTCTCCACTTTCTGCTGCTCTAGCATAATTCTGAATTTGATGGAGTGACTCCTGATTTACACCAATGGACAATATGACCAAAACCAACTACTTGGCATAATACGAATGCAAGGAATCAAATCATTTGAAGATTCACTCACCAACAAAGAGTCTCTTCTTAACTGTGCTAAAGTACTGACTTTCATGTTCACACTGTCCTTGCTTAGAGCTTTGAGATCCACTCCAGGAGCACCCCCTGGGACAAAAAATAGAAAGCATATCAAAGCCTGGAGGACAGCCCTCGAATGAGCAGTGTTGTGTAACTGTGTAAACTAGAGTTATAAAGATGCCTCCAAAGTTTATTAGGCTGGGGCTGCTCACAGAGTGAGTTCCAACTGCAAAATATATGGATGCTACTTCATTTTGCTGGGAGGTATTACTGTGCTGGCTGTTAAACCAGCCTGTGGCAATGATGTCAGATGCTAGATAGAGGGGTAAGAAGAGTTTGCTCAGGCTGTGGATAAATTCTTGGCTTAACAGGGGAAAATCTATGTTTTGTGACATGGAAAGGGGCTATGAGATAAACGTTAAGCATTAGCAGCTTGATTTCTTGTGGATCTTGCAGATCTTAGCCATCCCAGAAGTCATGAGTTTGATTTTCTCTGAGTAGTCTGACAATTGATTTGGGCAATCTACAAGCTGGAAAAGATTGAAACTTTTAACAAACTGGCTTTGAAAATTCCCAAATTTGATGGTATTTGATACCCATTCAGCTTCTGACTAAGACCTCTTTCTTTCCCCATAATACACTGTTCTTTTACATACCTAGATATGGTTCAATAAGCTCATAGTAAGCAGGTAAATAGTGCTGGTCTGAGAAAGCACGTTTTGCTTTAGCATATAAGATGTCTTTTGTAGTCTGTGAACAGGCTGAAAGATTCAGAGAAGCCAGCCTGCAGAAAACAGAAGATTTAGGGAGAGAAAAGTTTTTATTATCTTCAATGTGAACAAATCTTGAGCTATTCTGAGTAACTCTCTGGGATTCTGTACATAAGAGAGGTGACCCCTTCTTCCCACTAGATAGAAGAGATATGGAGAGAAGCTAAGAACAAAAAATAATGGCACAGTCTCTTGCTTAAAATGGTATATCTTCTAAGTTATGATGACTCTGATGGTGCATGACAAGTTTCTGCATTTGCAAAGATGTAGTTAACTAACTTCATTTAGCAGTCTTTCAAAGGAATTTAAATAAAATTTAATTAAATCTCTTTTCGCTCTAGATAAAAGCATGCAGGCAGACCCTATCTGTTGTCAGCTGAGCTGCGATAAAGAGAGTTTGATTGCAAATCTGAACCCTTCCTGGCAGGATAGAGAACAGCGGGCTTTTAAACCTGGACACAGGGCAGGTACTAAGCTGCTTCCTAGATTTCCTTTCACTGAGTGGAGGGAAAAGGAAAATGCACTTGCTGATGGGAAAGTGCTGTTGCAAGAAGCCAAGAGCATCACAATATTTGACTCACTTCAAGCTTTTGGGGTCTATCTTATTCAAGTCGGTCACATTTAGAAGGCACGTGTATCTTGTACCAATCGCATTCAGTGCAGTGGTGTTCAAGTCATTTCCAAGGTCAATGTATCTTCTAATTATTGCAGAAGCCTGGAAACACATTTAATTTTTTTTTTCAAAAGTTAACCCGAATCAGAATTTTAACCCTTAAAAGAAAAGCAAACACAATCATTTAAAAAAAAAAAAAGGAATAATTTCAAATATATTTGTTTGGACCTCAAGGATGAACCAATGATCTTGGAACCCACCAAGCCAGTCCTAGACCAGAAGCTCCCAAACCAGGAAGGAAAAACAATTAGGAAAGCAAACTGAAATCCCTACCTGAGCATCAGCAGGCTGGTATTTTAGCAAGTCAGCCAGTGTATCAGCTGAAGTTATCTTCCATTTGGAAATATCCTCAGAGGTGACGAAAGCAGTGAGGGGACCCAGTCTGGGGAGCAGACTTTCAGGATACCCATCAGGATATGCCTGTGGAAAGACTGTTGTTATTGCCATGAACACTCATTATCATCCCTGTGCTTAGGAATTTATGCTTTTTTCAAAACCGATGTGGAAAAGCCTGAAAGATCTGCAAGGAATAAGAAACTAAAGCCATTGAGATTCCACGAGCACATCTGTCCTTTTTCTGCTTGATAGCTCAGGCAAGCAGGCCCCAGGGCAAGCAACAAAACCCAAAGCACTGTGAACTGATTCAACAGGCACCTGAGTGGGCAGTTTGTCCTGCAGTGGTGAAGGCTAATGGAATACTGGGCTTCCCCAGCAGTGGCACAGCCAGCAGGTCCAGGGAAATTATTATTCTCCTCCATTTGGTTGACACTTGCAAGGCCCCATCTGGATACTACATCCAGAAAGACTTTGACAAAGTCTAGCAAATGCTAGCAAGTCTAGCAGAGGGCCATGCTGGTTGGGAGGGCAGAAGCACATAATGTACAAAGTAGGGCAATGGGACTGAGAAAGATGGTTTTTTTTTTAGTCTGGAGAAGACTAGGCAAAGATTTTATTACTGTCTTCAACTATTTAATGGGAAATTATAGGGAGTATGGAGCCACACTCTTCTCAGTGGTGCACAGTGAAAGGATAAGGATCAACAAACAGTGAAAATTCTGATACTAAGAAATATATATTTTCACAGTAAAGGTGGTCAAACACTGGAAGAGGAGCTCAGAGAGGTCATAGAGTCCCACTTAAACTCAACTGGACAAGTCCCTGAACAATCTCATCAGTAGATAATTTGACATTCTTCAGCCTGGCATTACCTCATCCAGACGCCTCTTCAGCACAGCTAATTGCTGGATACTGAAGGCATAGGTCAGTATCTGAGGGAGGTGATTATCCAGAGAGACGTTCCTCAGGCAAGTATGTAACTGCTCGGGTGAGTAGTAAATAGGCATCAACTCATTGTTAAGAACCATCTTCGTTATCTGCATCTCAGGTGGGCAACCTGTTGAAGCAATTACCAAATCTGCTCAGTGTTAAATCCTTTTACTTTAAATTTTGAATGCTCCCTTGCTGGAGATAGACAGTTATGCAATCATGGTACCACCCTCCTCCTGGTGACCCGCCACCAAGTGTTTCATAGTTCAACTCAGACATATTTAGAGACAAGCACTAGGGTCAACCCTCATGCCAGAGGGAATTCTGCCATTATGGATCAGAGAAAGCTTCTGTACCATCAGCACGCTTATGCCTAGTAGGCAGGAGTTCTTCAACAACGGTGGCCAGTTCTTCCCTTGACAGAGGTGAATCGTGTGCAAAGTTTTTCATCCAAAGAGTTAAAGTATTCTGCAAGGAAAAGGTTTCATCAGGGGGACGTTGCAATTTTGGGCATACCACCAGCACAACAAGTTGCTACTCACACAGACAAGTGTTAAAGTACTAAGGGCAGCCGACCTACTGCTATAAGCCTAGAGATCTTTCCTTGGTGAGCCAAAGGCAAATTTCTAAACACTTAAACTCTATCATATCCCATGTCCCATAAATGATTTTACCTTCTCATAAAGCATTGGCACCAGTTACTACTACATTTACTACTGCTTTCCACCTCTGGTACTCTTCCAACAGTTACAGGAAGAGGATTGACAATGATCTAGATTTGCAGTTCCACGCCACCACCTTGATCAACCCTCACTTCTCATAGATCATCCATCCCTTTTGGCACCACAATTTTCAAATGAAGGCACTACTGAAAACATACCGGCTGAACAACTCCCATCATATTTCTTCCACACTGCAGGACCTAAGAGTGCTTCCCAAACTCCCCACACCTCGATGAATAACCCACCTTGGGGATCTTCTGCAAGATGCTATGATCAAGCACAGGAATCAATCCGCTGAGCTCATTCAAGGTAAAAGCTGACCACGCTACAGGAGGCCTGCATACAAAAAGTACCAGGGATCAACTTGCACCACCATACAAAATCATACAAAAAACCAAAACCAAAACAAAACAAAAAAAAACACTTTAAAAGCTGCCAGGATTATGTCCTTAGAACATCTGAAGTTAAGAAAACACAAGATTTAAATCCTATCTCAATCACTTCCTGTTACACAAAACTTCATTTCATTGGAGCGGGAGTAATTGTTAATAACATGAATAAGAGCAGCTGGATGGGAAAATGGCATTTAAGACGTACATTATTATTTTCTTAAGCATGACACACAAAGAATATCTATTGCTTACTATCACCCAATTCAGTGCCCAAGATCTCGGGGCATTTGGCACAGGAAGGAAAAATATTTTGCCTCCCTGGGCAACGTCTCTGTTAGATACACCCAGGGATTTATCAAGCATCTGTCAGTTTGACAGGAAGAAACCGAATATTTTCTGAAAGGGAATGGCTGACAAACAGCTAAAGCTCATCTGTGTTCATCAGGACAGTCTCAGAGAAGTTCGGTTAATGGAAAACAGACCAAGAGGAAAAGCTTCTATAATTAGAGCAGGTGAGAAGTGACAATGTATTTTCCAGTGGAATTCCAGCCAAAACTTTCAGCTGAAGTTCAAATAAACAACAGTAAATGTCCAACGCAAAATTCAAAAGCAACGAATTATTTTTATCAAGCTGGTTGCCTGGAGGTCACTCAGGTCTTAATAGGACAATCGTTTTGTTTAAGAGAACTCTTTTGCTGAAGCCTAGAAGAAAAATTCATACCCAAATGTAGTGTTACCACTGCTGATGACACTCCTAATAGCCTCTTCTTGCTCAGGCAGGAAAGAGTCACACTGGCTTAAGCGCTTCAGCAAATTCCCACCAGAACTTCTAATGTATTCTCCACCCAGGTCACAGACCAGACGTCCCAGAATCTCTGCATCTTCCTCATTTACTTGTGTGCTAGAAATGTTCTGAAATAATACAAGACAGAGGCATGAAATAGAACTGGATGCCACTGGAGAAGAGTACTCTTGCTCCTGCTGATGGCTGACAACTCAAAGTTCTCCACAGCCTTGTGCAGAGCTGTCCCTGGCCACGTACCAAACATGCCAAAGCTTCCACGAGCAGCTGGTTCCGCTGAGACGACTCCCTTTGCAGAACATCAAGATTTGCTTTCCCAATATTAGCAAAGTATTGCCTACAGCTTCCTGTGGCTGCATAGTCTGAAGGACTAGAAAGACAAATACTCCATGAATTCGGTGAATGGTATCAACCAGTTGAACAGGTTCAAGACTGTTCATGTGTCCAATATAGCATCTTCCATATCTGCAGACTAAACTCTATGCAGCTACTGCTCCCAACACTCCCAGTCCACATTTTTAAAAATTCATTTTCACCTTAAGGAATCTATTGTGAGACTCAGCTTAAAATTGCTCAAGGTTTGGATACAGAACCGCAGTGGGCAGCTACTGGAACACAGAAATCCACTCTACTATCTGTTTTCTTTGATGTTGTAAGGGAAAAGCACAATCGCAGAGGCTGGAAAGTACAAAACCTGCATACTGGTTTCATATCCAAACAGACATATTTAAAAAGAGCTTCAGAGTGTTTACATTAATGTGAAGCATGGTTGAATCTGAAAGGACCTTAAAGCACTTTTGAAAGCTTTCTGCAATCTGATTTTTTTTTCCCCTTTAGGGAGGCCTGAACAAGTTTGAAATACATATCAAACACAAACTAGTCATTACCAGCTAGGTTATACAGTAATACCTCCTTTTCCCACTAAGCACTAAGGTAACAACATGAAAACCATAGCACAGTTACCTTAAAAACAGCAGGAGGTCTTTAGGATAGCTGTCTAAATCCTTGGGAATCCCATGCAGCGTCACCACCTTCACTAAACAACTCAGCTGAAACGACACCACAGTTGACATGAAAGAAAAAAAAACAGCATTAAAACATAAGAAAAAAAAATAGAACCAATATAAAGATTTTACTCTGCTCCAAATAATTTAAAAAGAAAAGACAGAAATCAGAGGTTATGGTTCCCAAGAAACCTGGTCAACTGGGTTTTGACTTCTCTCTTCGGGCGTAGTTCAAAAAGAGAAGACAGAAATCAGAGGTCATGGTTCCCAAGAAACCTGGTCAACTGGGTTTTGACTTCTCTCTTCGGGGAAATTCAGAACTGTGGGATGGAGACCCAAGACCAGTTACAGTTGTTCCAGCCCCTCCAGCTGAAAGTTTTTCATTCTTGCTGAACAATCCTCATTGCGACCTTCATGACACCACCAAACGTGGTATTTCAAAATACGGGAACTGACCTGACCTCCTCCCAGCTTGACGTTCTTCTTCTTCATGACTTTGGCCAGCTCCTGAAATCTTTCTGCTTTCATCTCATTAGCAGCTGCACATGTGAAGCCTTGGAGGACTGACTGGGAAAGCCTGAACATTGACAGAAAGCAAATCAAAGGGCAAGGATGTCAGGAGAAAATTCACTGCTGATCTCCCACATATATAATGACAAATACAGCAAGCACAAACCCCCCCCATTTCAAAGTTTAATGTTCTCCAAACTCCATGCCCTCAAAATTGCTAGTCTGGACCTACATAGAAGATCAAGAAGCCATCACTGGTCAAATAAACATAACCTAGAGACTCGTAATAGAAGTCGAAATGCAGGGACAAACTCTCCATCCCAAGTAATTATTGCTGTATCCTGAATTACAAGACCAGTCTCCTACCTGTGTTTTCAGCATATGCCACACATGGAAAGTGAAATTGAGTTGTGCAGATCCTCATCACTGAACATAGTTTGCACAGACTGGGACAGCTCAGGGAGAAGTCCTTAAAACTTTGATTGCTTTCAGTATGGAAAAGCTTCACTGTGAAATTGGCAGGACACTGATGAGTTGACTCCATTGGTTTTCCAGATATGTATCAAGGTTTTCATAATTTTTCATCTCAGATAGGAGAGTTGAAAAAAGACTTATTATCAGCCCCCCTAAATTTAATGCCTGGAATAGCTCTGTGGAAGACTGACATATTCTCCAATTAGAAACCCCTCCCACAGAGGCAGTCAGAAGTGGGGTTTCAGCTGCAGCCTCAGAAAGCAGCATCATTTTAGAAAGCCAGTGTGGTTTATGGGTACATTTTGCAGCTGACAGCCTGGTAAATCTTGATGCTACATGCCTTTGTGTTTGCATTTGCATTATATTTCCCATCTGTTGCTATGGATTGCATACAGTGGGTCTGCCATACGTACCAAAGGAAACGGGGAAATTGCAGTCAAAGCAAACACAAACATGGAAAATGGAAGGAGAGAAGAAAAACACTACCTGCTGAAGTCAGGCTCTGTCTTTATCGCATCACTGAAAAACATGGCAGCCTGTGAAGCAAAGCCAGAGTGTCAATGGTTTACTGTGCTCTTCTGCAACATTCACCTGTATTTTCAGGCAGATCTGCAGAGCAGACACACAGCTCTGTAGAGGCCAAGGCTGACACTGAGGGGTAAGGAGGACACAAGCCGTCAGCATATTACCTGTTCTCGGGTCCACGTTTTATTGTTGAGATCCTGAATATTGGGTTTCTCTCCCCCAAAAACAAGCAAAGATTTTGGAATGTAACTGGCCAGAGGATCAGGGACATATTTAACCAGGTCAGCAGGGTGGCCTACACTGGAGTAAATCTTAAAACAAAACAAAACCAAACAAAACGTTTCATTCAAACACTGTGGCTAAAATAAACAATTGCTGGAGAAGAAATGATGAACTGGAAAGAAGCCAGGCAAATTCCCTTGCTGATCATCTGGGCATTTCTTGGAGACCTAACACTATGAAATATTTCCTGTTTGACACATTCATCAGACGAACAGAACTGTTTGGAGCTAGTACCTGGGGTCCTGATGAATGGGAACGATTCTGTCTCTTATCAGCTTCCCACCTCCTGGCTTTATGCCCTAAAAAGGTTTAACAGGCCAGAAAGAAGGGACGTGTCTTTCCTCTCTGCCAATGCAAACAATGTCTCAACTTTCCGAAGGCACGTTGCAGAACAATCCGGTGGTGAATGAGATGTTATTTCCCTAATGCTTCACACGGAGCCCTGGCTGTCCCATTGACCCAGGACACACTATAGGCAGGGCCTCTGGTGCCAAACACAATCCAGAGTTGGGAAGATGAATAACAGCAAACTTGAATGCTACACATGCACTTGAAGGCTAAAGACATTGCGAGAAAAAAAGGCAAAAAGGTGTCTAAATCCTACACAATCACAAGGGGGGATGAAATACTGCATTGCTGAAGGACCAGTCTACCCTATAAAGACTTTCTAAGCCACCTTCCCTTCTCACATGTTCTCACCCCAAATCACGGAAGTATCCTTTCTCTGAAAGTCTCTTTTCAAGTCAATGGGGAGTAGCTTCCAGGAATACCCCATAAAACAACTGTCTCTTCTGCCCTTGTCCCCAGGAGGCTCATCAGGACACAGTGGCTGGCTGCCAAGGACATGTACACAGGCAAGGTGATAGACACTTGTGATGCTTGTCCTGCTGCACACTCTGGCAATGGCAGACACCCCCGAGGGAATGCTGTCTGGGTGTGCAGGAGTGTGTCAATGCCATGCCCCAGGTCACCAGTGTTCTTAGCTGTGAGTCACTGGGACTTTGCTAATTTATGACGCCTGAAGAGAAAACCAACATCACCTTTTCTGCGAATATCCTTTTCAGAGAAGACGGCAGGGTCACCATGTGCTGAACAAACTCAGGCGACTCAATGGCTTCCAAGATCACCTCTGGAGGCAGACTTCGAAGAGTGCTGCTATTGAGGCCAGCCACCAAGCTCCCCAGCTTTGTCAGGCTCTGTCCATTCGTGATCTGAAAGGTAACACATGCAGGAATGAGAATGTGAAGGGTAAAACATCATTTGCTGACAGCTCGTTATACCCAGCCAGCTATACCAGTGTGAGGTGCATTTGTGGACTTTATCCTTTCTACCTGATAGCCAGAGCTCAGCAGTTTGTTGATAATAGCGCTGGACTGCTCAGCACTCCAGCCACGAACTTCACCCAGGGCAGGAATAGATGCTTCAAGGTCTTTATCACTGATGCTGTTTTCAATGTCGGATACGGAGAGCCCAACTGCAGCCTGGCCCAATGAACGCACGGTCGAAGGGTCGAAATGCTCAAATTTTCTCACCAAAGAAGATGCAACCTGAAAATGTCCCACACAGACAGGAAAGGTGGTCAGAGCAGCAATGAAGTGAGCCTATGGGATCCTATGGCCTTTGGATGTCTTAAATCACTGGACTTCGTGCCTCAAAGTTGTGTGATGAAGCCTGTTGATGGACTCCCCTCTCCCCGTCCCCCCAGCCTAAGATTTTGCACAACATGAAACACCAGCCAGATGTCACAATAAAAAAAAGCAAGATTGCCTACAGGAGTGTACACAGGAGGAGGCATGAGAGTTGATCCTCAAGTTTAACAAATTTTGTCTAGGTGAATAAAAAACTGAGTCACGGGGCTGGACAGGAGATTACCTGCGGTTCCTCCGTTGTCATGGAGGAGGGAGATCTCCCTCTCCTTACTCCTCTGTGTGTCAGGTTCAATGGGCAGTTCTTACTGATCCTCTGGGCCAAGCTCAAAGCGTCATCTCTGCTCAGGTTGCTCACGGCCGAGGGGCTCAGGTAGCAAACAAATCTGTCTGGGAGACTGCAGGTGGGAGATAAGGAGGAGAGGTTGCCAGTATGATAGACAGGGACTCTGTCAGATCTTGCCTTTTTACTGAAGGATTCTCTTTTCCAGTGCACGTTTCCCCTGGATTCACTTTAGCTCTGACAATGCTGATGCTCCTGTTCACAGAGAGCACTGCTGTGTCAGGCAAAACTGCACAAACATGACAGCCATTTCCCAAGATTTGGAACTTTCAGTCTGGCCCACCCCAAGATCAAGTGCAATACAATTATTTGAGGAACAGAAAAATACTTTAAAGGTTTCATGGAAGCAGCCAGCAGAATCCCTGCTCAGCAATCTTCTGCTAAGTCACAGCACCACGTTAAACCATAAGTCAGGCAGGAAATCAGGTCAGGTCAGGTCCTGTACCTTGATAAGGGAAAACCAGGTCCAGAGGTGAGCAGCGAGGTATAGTACATGGCTGTCTCCCGGAGCAAGGTGAGGTTGCTGATCATCTGTATATTGACTGGATCCCTGGCAAATTTTTGAAGCTGAGGGTTTTGTCACGAGGAAAAAAAAATTTAAAAAAATTTAGATGGATACTTTAATAATAGCAGTCACTTGGGACAGTTTGAACACAGCTCACTTAAAGCAATCAGGTTTTTTTCACCTGGCTTTAAAGTTGTGAGGAAATTTATTTTTTGTTTTCAAGTAATACACTGGGACCTTGTTTTATATATCTTTGCACTCCAAAGGCACAGCAAGCCTCTCGCTCTATGACTGCTGTAAGGCACAAAGGTAGGAGAGCTGCTAACGGATGTGGCCCTGACCCTACAGCATCATTCACACATACAGTCATTCACCAAACCAGGCCCAGACAAAGGTCCAGTCTTGAGATAAAGTCTGGGTTTGCTCCCCTTATTGACTCCAGTTTGCCTTTTGCAGAATTACCTATGGGAAATCAACTTCTGTGCAAGCGCCTCTTATCACAAGAAATCACGATGGGGTGGGGGAAAAATGAGAACTGAAGTGCCTGTTCACCATAAATAAACAAGAGAAATGTTCCTGCTAGCAGCATCTCCCTGAGTTTTGGTCAGAGGAGGACAACGACCTCTCAGGCACAGAATATTATGCACACTGTGCGTACTTCATCACCACAATGAGCCTACACTTACTGTTGGTTCATCACCAAAAAGCTGCAGGTCTCCAACAGTAGCATGCTCCATGAAGGATCCGAGATAATTTTCAAACCAGGCAGTGGAACTCAGATCTGGATCGGTTGCATTGTAGCATTTCTGGTTTGATCCTGCAAAACAGGCAGACACCATCAAACTACGGACTTGCAAAGTATCAGATAATCAGCGGAGACTGGAGATTTCTGAATGCAGAACAGGCTTCAGCCTACCAGAGAGCAGAGAGCTCTCCAAGTGCCTCTGACCACACATTTATGCTCAAATCTGTGTTTGTGCATTCCCTACACATGGGACTTGACAGATGCTTCATTCTTGCACAGCCCTCCAAATATTTCATCACCAGTCTCTTTCTTCCTCCCTTCAAATCTGCCAAAAACTTTTTGCAGGACATTAAATTTCTGCATGTAAGCCACTGCCTGCAGACAGGGGAGGCTCTTACCCTTTCTGAGCTACTTCTGGGCTGAATTCTTTAGCTCTCGGAAGCAAACCCTGCACTGTTCTTTCACAACAAAAGCAGTCAGTGCCATTTGCACAGGATGTAAGTCAGTATAGGACTGACTGTGCTGATTTATAAAACCCTGGGTTAATAAAGCCTTCAGGCAGAGAAATGACTCCTGATACTTCTTATCACTGTCATATTCCCAGCCTATTTCCATTGAAGAGACAATATAAATTCACCAAAAAATCTGTGAAGCCTCATCCCTGTGACAGATTGCAGCTAATGTTGTAGCATGTGACAGTGGCTTAAAGCATTCTGTTGTTTCTTAAAGAAAATTGAGTCATTTACCGTCCTGGATGAGAAAATATTTGATCCCAGTGTAAAGATTCTTCTGTTCTTCCACTGGAAGGTCAGAATATATGCCATTCAGGGCAGTGACTCTAAAGATGGATAAGAAAGGCAGACATCTCAAACACAGATGAAGTCAAACCTGGCAGGGTTGGATTCTCACAGAAGCGGCTGTTACTATCAATCATACCCCTTTTCAAAGCCACCATCATGACCTCCCTTCACAATAGCCCCCATGATCATCCAGGGGGATGAGGAGCAGATACAGGGTCAGTAGGAGTGTTACGAAGCCTTGGAGAGAGCTTCTCAGAGGCCCTACCCAGGCCTCCACCAGTTCACAGCGCTTACAGGATTTAGCCCCTTGTTTTAGAATGAGGGCCACTTTCCTATCTCAGCAACATGGGACTGAACAATCCTTGTGTTCAGCACTTACATCTTCTGAAACGCCTCACAGAACACATTTTTGGCATGGAGGCAAGCAAAGACCTCAGGCTCGACCAGGAACGGCTGAAGCCCTTCATGGACCCACTGAGACAAAACAGGTGGGCTGTCAATATCAGGTACTTGCAACATCTTCTCCCACAGGCCATTCATGAAGATCATGTTCCACTCAAGAGGCACGTGAGAAAACTGAAAGCAAGAGATTAGAAGAAACACATGAATTCAAGTGAATACAGACTTCTGAACAATAACATAAATCCACGTGAATCTGAACATTCTGAACAGAATCACCCCTAGCAATAATCCCTTTTCTGGATAGCAACTCTCAGGATAGTAATATTATAGAATCATAGAATTGTCTAGGTTGGAAGGAACCTTTAAGATCATCTAGTCCAACCATCAACCTAACTCTGATTAAAAAAAACAACAAAAGACCATACAAAAGAACCCCCCACATTACTAAACTATGTCTCTAGGCACTATGTCAACCTGTCTTTTGAAAACCTCCAGGGATGGTGCCTCAACCACTTCCCTGGGCAGCCCGTTCCAATGCTTAATAACCCCTTCAATGTAAAAATTTTTCCTAATATCCAATCTGAACCTCCCCTGGCACAATATTTGTGCAATTCAAGCACAGTCAGTCTGTAATTCATGTAGGAAGCACAGGTCTGTGCTGCCACTGCAGTCAGCAACAGCAAACCCACAGGCACTCATGGTTGTTATTCCTATCTCCCCAGCTATTTTTAACAGCACAGAACCCTACCATGTTGGTGGAGATTCACTGATTGAAATACTGCCTTTTTAAAAATAATGTTAAGGTAAAAAAATAAGGTAATTTCACTGAATTTCACTGAATTTTTAGAGTTGGAAGGGACCATAGAGATCATCTAGTCCAACTCCCCTGCTAAAGCAGGACCACCACCCAAACAAATAATGTTAATGTTAAATAACACTTTCCACTGGCATTCATGTTACAGGTGAACAACTAGTTGGATATGTGATACCCACCCTCTGGCTGAACGCAGTCAGAGCAGCTACAAGCTTCTTGGCATCATATTTGGAAAAGAATAGAATGGAGTATTGAGGATCCATCACACTGGCAGGTTTAGCGGTAAGGCAAGAATACAGGGATATGAGGAAATCATCCTGAAGGTCCTGGAGCCAAGCACTCTGCAAAAGAAAAAGGGGAAATCCATATAGAGGTAATAAAAGGTGGGTCATATTTGGAGCTGCTGCAGTGTGCTGCCATCTTCAGGTCTGCTTCACGAGCTCACCTACACCTGAGCATTCAGCCCTATAAGGTGATGAAACCTGTTGACAGGAGAGTCAGAAGAAAGTCCAGCTTACACTGAATTAAAGCAAGTCTAATCATGCCCAGTTCCATATGCTGGATCCTTCTGTTACCTAATCTGTGCTCCCCCCCAAGAAAAGACTAGCTTTAAAAAAACCTCAATCAAATGATTTCCCACCAAAAAAAAAAATAAAATGGCCATTTGATCAAAGTGAAAACTTCCATGAGAAATTTAATCACTCCAGAAACATTTTTCAATGAAAAAAAACCCAAACAAACAAAAAAAAAAAATCAACCAACAAGTATTTGAAGAAATTACATCTTTTGGGTAGAAACACAGGAAAATACAAATATTTGTCAATTCAATTGCAATTAGTGGCAGCACAGCAACTTAGCGATAATGCCACAAGCAGGAAGGGAAGTAAACCTGAAATATTCCAGATGACATTTTCCACACTGCAACCACTTTTTATTGTGCTCATGGATGTTTTACCCTGACAGACATGGGTTACTGTCATGCAGAGATTTGTTTCAACACTACGATGCCAGTTTCTAGGAGTCGATTTGTTCTGGAAATCTCCTTTGTTTGGTTTGGAAAAGATAACATCCCCACTTCCACAGACAGCCCCAAAAAGGCCTCCATGGTGGTGCTGCCTGGGAAGGTGACACTGCCACATCTCAGTGCTCTGCATGGTCCCCACGTCCATGTGTGTGTGACCCCTCAGCTTCTCTCAGTCTTGTGAGGGAAACCTTGACAACCCAGACCCAAAGTCTGCACAACACTCCAGCCACTCCCTTCACAGCCAACAGCAGGACAGCTTTTATGACAGAAATGGCACAATTGTCAAGGGAAACAAAACACCAGCCCATGAAAAGGAGGAGACGGATGTTACCTGTGCACAGGCGTATTGACCAAAAGTGAGGCTGCAGGGGGAGACTTGGCCACGGGCTACCTCAAGAACCATCTCCTGGCTGACACTGGTGGGGAGAAAAAGCAAAGACATCACCTCCATGCCAGCTGCCCCTCTGCTGGGAAGTAGGGACAGTCCATCTGCAGACACAGACGTGGAGCAGAGCTGCCCGAAGTGAAAGGCGTGTGAACACCCCTGACCACAAGCTTTTATTAATTGGAGTTTTGTTCATCTGCAGCAGGGACAGCTATTAGTGAAGGGTCCAGCCCACCCATTAAGGAACAGGAGCGATGCCAGGCAGCCCTAACGATGAGGCACAGCCCACAGAATAAATATAGAAGAACAAGCAAACAGCTATATAGATGAGAATTATTTGCTGGCACCATTTGGGAGCAGGGAGAGGGTACTTGTAAACTGTTGACCCTTAGGTAGAAATCAAGCTCAATGAAGGCTTGAAGAGGACCTGTTTGAGTCTTAAGCCCCCATCACCAGCCAAGTTGAGCTCAGCACCAATGCTAAGGTTCTTTGAGCAGTAAATCCCCCTATGTCAGGCTGGTTGACACACCAGGGACTTGCCCTGCTTTTCTTTGTCCTGCACAGACACAGAGCCCCAGGAAGGCATTTTCCCTTCACTGTTTCAATCAGTGCAATTAGAGCCCTCCCTGCCCACAGGCAATCCTGGGACTTTGTGGGGAGAAAGATGCTACACCTGGTTTCAGAGGCTTCCTGCTACCCCAAGTGACATCCCCAACAATCCAGTATCACTCCCAAGGAAAATGCTGCCAAGAGAATTTGCTGACAGTTCACATACCTTTCCACTGAAGCACACACCGCAGATTCTGATTCCCAAAAAAAGAAAGACAGACAAAGGTAAGGGAACTGTGACAGGAACACATATACAGAACCATGACTGAATCTTTCTTACGGACATTACTTGGTAAGAAACTCACCATTGACAGGGGAGCTGGAGCACTGCACCAGGAGAAAGAAAGACAGGAGATGATCTTATCACACAGTTACAATGGTAGCACAATGTTATTTGTGATCATTGCATACGGACAAGCACACTCATTGCAACCATCTGTATTTGGATCTGGCCTGAAAACACGCAAGTGCCCTGGTGCAGAGCTCTCATCTTGCCATGCTCCGTAGCTGCTGTCTGCAATATTCGTATCAGTACTGGCTCTGAACTTCAAATAGCTGGAAAGTTCAAGGCTATGTGAGTCCTCCCATCACTCAGGCATAAGAGCCAATGGGGTGGACTGTTCTCCTGATGATTTGAGTGTGAATTGTGTCACCTTCATTGAACTGCCTGGTGATGTGCTTGCACTGAAGCCCTGCAGAGACCTGGAGAAGCCATCCCCACTCCACTCACTGCTTGGGAAGGGGAAGGACATTTCCCATCCATTTCCATGCTCAACCCACCGGATCTGGCTTGTAGCAATCAATTCCCATCAAGGTGCTGCTATCAGGAAGGTGCCCACACTGACCACCGACCCTACCTTGCTTTGCAAGACATGGATGACACATATTCTAAACACGCAAGTTTGCCTTACCAGATGTGTCCCAGCAGAGGTTGCAGCAGCTGCCTGCCAACCTGGAAGACAATGTTCCATGATTTTAATGACAAATCCAGGACAAAGCTTCTTCCCGCAGTCCAGCCTCTGTCTGGCTTAACACATCCTGAACATCACTCATCTCACTATATTATTTTATTCCTCATTCTTGGCACAGTGTTTCACAAAATCATTTCTGTCAGACCTTCCTGCTGTTTTCTCTTTGACTTTGCATCAGCTGACTGGGTGAGCTGACGTGAGGTCTCCTCTATCCACAGTGGGTAAGACTGGCAGCGGACAGAAACGTGGTGTTAGATGACATGAGAGATTGCATGCACCTCTGTCCCCAGAGAGAAAAAGGCAGGGAAAGGGGCAGAAACAACACTCTGGGAATGGACCTTGCTTTTACAAGTAACCTATGTATTTCTGCTGGACAGAGACATCCCCCCTTGTACAGGATGTTAATAGAAAAGTGGAAAGAAAAAAATAATACCACATTCTCATCAGGGTGTCCATAATACATTGATCAGTTTTGAATAGCAACAATTGCTTAATTAAAGTAAAAAAAAAAAAAGTTATCTGTTTATTTGTTTTCCTTCCTTTAGTACTGATAACTAAGCCTACTGTTGATGGTCCCTTTATGTAGCTGTTCCCCAGCTGGTGGTTCATTAGATTGTTTGTAATGTTACAAGTTCGTGTTCTGTTTTCATCAATATTCCCTGCAAACACTGTCTCAGGTGTTACAAGGAAGGAAGAATAAAGTGCTGACACTTTTTGAAAGAAACAAAGATCCAACTCCGGAATCCCTTACTATCAAAAAACAGATGGAGGGAAAATAGGGAATATAGAGATAATCAGATTCAGCTAAGGTTATTTCTTAAGTGCTTTCCCAGAGAAACCCAGATACTCCAACAAAAGGAGCAGTGAGCAGACAGCTCTGCAATGACAGGAAGAGAATTCATTCCAGTTTGGTCTCTCCACCCTGTTTATTACAAAAATGAATACATTTTGGTTTACAGATACAATAATGAACAAGCATAACTAAAGGCTGGAGATTTAGAGCAACTCTAAAGTAATGTTCAATGGTCTTTCAGCACAATTTTCTCTTTTGAGCTTTATCTCAGCTACAGCTGCTGGTATAGAAAATCCTCCCGGGACACCCATCACCCTCACGGTAATACTCACCAACCAAGAGGAGGAAGCCCAGCCCTGGGAGTAAAGGCAGCATTTCTGCAAAGATCTTCATAGCACCTGTACATGCAAGGAATCACCTTATTTCAGCCAAGAAAAATAAATACGAATAATACTTAATTGCAAAACCAAACTCAGAATAGGAAAGTGAAAAGGTGACTGTCTCACAAGCACACTGACACACGCCAACACCCTTCACAAAACCTATCTGAAACTAGACCCAAAGCACACCAAAAAAGCCCAACTCTTAAGGGTCCGCTACGTCTGGGAAAGCCCAGAGTTGCAGAGAATTCAGAGTTAGTTCAGCTATATTGATTGCTACCAGTGCCCTGAAGTCAGGCTCCCCCCTGGCAGAGGAGGATAAGAGGTTGCACAACCCCACTCGGAAGGTGAACCACGGCACTTACCTCCAAGCCGCTAGTCCTGGGCACTCTGTGTGTGGGGCTACGATCCGTAGAGGGCTCCTTTTCACTGAGCAAACCAGGGTGTGTCTGTGGCTTCTCAGAACTTCATCTGAAATTACAGAATGGATTTGGAACACCGGACACACCTATAAGTTCTTGAGAATACAAATGTTTAGCAGGACAAATAAACGCTATTTGTTAACACTCATCATTCCTAGGATACGGTAGGAAACACTGAGCCTGAAGCTGCACTGAGTGAGCAGGACGAGAGCAGTGAATAGGTTTGTTCCCTCCCTGCCCTGTGCAGGACGTGTTTGCCAGTCACAGGAGGCAACAAAACCCAGGACAGAGCTACTCTGGGACCACCTTCCCCTAGTTACTGCAGAGGAAGGTGGTCATCAGGAAATTTTGCTTCATCGGAGTTTGAAACATTTGGCCCTTTTCTTGAAATTTCTGCTTACCCAAGTCATCTCCACCTGGGAAACCCGCAAGGAAAACACACGGCAGCTCCTCTGATGGTCTGAGTAATTTTGCATCCTCAGATTTGAACAATCTTTATTTGGTCACTTTACAGATGCTTTTCAAGAGAAGTTTTTTTCATAAGCCAGTTATGTCCCAGACTTAGGCTTGCCCCATCGTACCCACCTACAACTCATCTTTTGTGGCAACACCAAGAAAAGCCAGCGTTGACTCACAACATCTCAACATGTACACAAACCTCAGCTCTCTCCACACTCCCAGTTTTCTTACCCCACTTAACATGTTTATCAGCTATTTTGGAACTAGTGTAACAGTCATTCTTAAATGTAGTTTGTCTGACTCAGAAAAGTACATAAGATGCCCAATGACCCTCATCAACACCCATCCTAAGCAACCCAAATCTATATAAACTTGAAATGCATCATTTTGTAAATAGTCAGATTCATGGACTCCTAGTTCAAAGCAAGAAGCCCCTTCTCCAGGATGTCCAAATGAGGTGTCCTTGAGACAGATGAGGATCCTTCAATCAAGTTTCAAATACCAAAGCTTTCAGCATCTTGCACCTTTTGGAAACTCAACATTGCAAGCAGGCTGAGCATGACAGAGCGTCAGATAGATATGCATTGCTGGGAATCCCTGGACATGCTGCTGGATGAACTGTAGGTCCATATAAGAGTCAATCAAGATGGCAACAAAAACCATGTGGCACAGAAGGCCTCTGCCACCCTCAGCCAGATCTATGGCTCTTCCCCGGGGCATTGAGAGGTAAAATGCAAGAACAGGAGAGATCCGAAAAGCAAAAAAAAACAATACTGAGCCTCAGCCACTGATGATGAAACCATGGGAGGGGGCAATGCAAAGCGTCAGGATTTTCTGCTTGCGTGAGCCAGGAAGTCATGCATACCTAAAGGGTGTGCAGAGCACCCCCCTTATGGGGAGAGAAACCAGAGTTCACAAAGGCAAGACGGAACTTTCATCTGTAAACAATCCAATATTTTTCTTAAGTCTGTCTGCAGGGTGGTCAAGCAGAACCACTCGATACCTGCCATCTGCATTCGTCCTCTAGCACTGCTGAACCATAAGCACAGATCCAAGAGTGCCAGGCGTGGTAGGAACAAGAAGGTCTTTGATTCCAAGAGTGTAAGTTGAGGAGACAAAGTCAGACAGATGAGCTCAAAGACAGGAAGACAGGCAATGGTTTCAACACAGCAACAGGTGAGCCATTTTTGCACACTTTGTGCCAAAGGAAAATTCTGATAATTACAGAGATTAAGTCTGGAGCTGATTTATGGCATTGCATCCACTCAAGAAAGCCTAAGTGAGAGTTACAGCTCTTTAAAAGACGCCTCCAGATAGAGGATTTTCACCTTTTGGATGTGATGCCATATCCAGCTTCACCACTTTGTAGCACAGAAAGCTGGGAACAGCAGTTTGGCCTGTGGCAGGTTTTCCTGCACTTTCCAGATCCCAGCCCAAGGACACAGCCATGGTACGGCAGGAGACTCACACTGCTCAGCACCTCAGGGCAGCTTCCAGAGCAGGGTAATATCACCCTGATGGACGGACAGAGAGGAGACTGTCAGTGTCTCACACATAGTGAGACAACTCTGGAAAAGCAGGTTTTATGCCCATAATTCAGCACTAACCTTCACGCTAACCAGAAGTGACATGGTTTAGGAGCTTTATTCCTATTATCTGAATATCCTTAGCAGCATACAGAGATATTCACAGTGCACACCTGGGCAGACAAGTCTTTCAGGGGACAGAGTCTAGCATGCCCTCAGTCACCACCTCCCCAGAAGCAGAGCTCTCCCTGTCATTAGTCCCATCTGCACCATGTCCCCTTACTAAGCATTGCTGTCCCCACCCTTTATGAACTTTTCTAATTTTGCAGCATCAGGCTTCTCAGCTGCAGACAAATGGGAACACAGAGCACGTAAGAGGAATGCTGGTAAAACTTGCTCTCAGTGTGCTTCATCGGAGTTTGAAACGTTTGGCCCTTTTCTTGAAATTTCTGCTTACCCAAGTCATCTCCACCTGGGAAACCCGCAAGGAAAACACACGGCAGCTCTTCTGATGGTCTAAGTAATTTTGCATCCTCAGATTTGAACAATCTTTATTTGGTCACTTTACAGATGCTTTTCAAGAGAAGTTTTTTTCATAAGCCAGTTATGTCCCAGACTTAGGCTTGCCCCATCGTACCCACCTACAACTCATCTTTTGTGGCAACACCAAGAAAAGCCAGCGTTGACTCACAACATCTCAACATGTACACAAACCTCAGCTCTCTCCACACTCCCAGTTTTCTTACCCCACTTAACATGTTTATCAGCTATTTTGGAACTAGTGTAACAGTCATTCTTAAATGTAGTTTGTCTGACTCAGAAAAGTACATAAGATGCCCAATGACCCTCATCAACACCCATCCTAAGCAACCCAAATCTATATAAACTTGAAATGCATCATTTTGTAAATAGTCAGATTCATGGACTCCTAGTTCAAAGCAAGAAGCCCCTTCTCCAGGATGTCCAAATGAGGTGTCCTTGAGACAGATGAGGATCCTTCAATCAAGTTTCAAATACCAAAGCTTTCAGCATCTTGCACCTTTTGGAAACTCAACATTGCAAGCAGGCTGAGCATGACAGAGCGTCAGATAGATATGCATTGCTGGGAATCCCTGGACATGCTGCTGGATGAACTGTAGGTCCATATAAGAGTCAATCAAGATGGCAACAAAAACCATGTGGCACAGAAGGCCTCTGCCACCCTCAGCCAGATCTATGGCTCTTCCCCGGGGCATTGAGAGGTAAAATGCAAGAACAGGAGAGATCCGAAAAGCAAAAAAAAACAATACTGAGCCTCAGCCACTGATGATGAAACCATGGGAGGGGGCAATGCAAAGCGTCAGGATTTTCTGCTTGCGTGAGCCAGGAAGTCATGCATACCTAAAGGGTGTGCAGAGCACCCCCCTTATGGGGAGAGAAACCAGAGTTCACAAAGGCAAGACGGAACTTTCATCTGTAAACAATCCAATATTTTTCTTAAGTCTGTCTGCAGGGTGGTCAAGCAGAACCACTCGATACCTGCCATCTGCATTCGTCCTCTAGCACTGCTGAACCATAAGCACAGATCCAAGAGTGCCAGGCGTGGTAGGAACAAGAAGGTCTTTGATTCCAAGAGTGTAAGTTGAGGAGACAAAGTCAGACAGATGAGCTCAAAGACAGGAAGACAGGCAATGGTTTCAACACAGCAACAGGTGAGCCATTTTTGCACACTTTGTGCCAAAGGAAAATTCTGATAATTACAGAGATTAAGTCTGGAGCTGATTTATGGCATTGCATCCACTCAAGAAAGCCTAAGTGAGAGTTACAGCTCTTTAAAAGACGCCTCCAGATAGAGGATTTTCACCTTTTGGATGTGATGCCATATCCAGCTTCACCACTTTGTAGCACAGAAAGCTGGGAACAGCAGTTTGGCCTGTGGCAGGTTTTCCTGCACTTTCCAGATCCCAGCCCAAGGACACAGCCATGGTACGGCAGGAGACTCACACTGCTCAGCACCTCAGGGCAGCTTCCAGAGCAGGGTAAAATCACCCTGATGGACGGACAGAGAGGAGACTGTCAGTGTCTCACACATAGTGAGACAACTCTGGAAAAGCAGGTTTTATGCCCATAATTCAGCACTAACCTTCACGCTAACCAGAAGTGACATGGTTTAGGAGCTTTATTCCTATTATCTGAATATCCTTAGCAGCATACAGAGATATTCACAGTGCACACCTGGGCAGACAAGTCTTTCAGGGGACAGAGTCTAGCATGCCCTCAGTAACGCTATTTGTTAACACTCATCATTCCTAGGATACGGTAGGAAACACTGAGCCTGAAGCTGCACTGAGTGAGCAGGACGAGAGCAGTGAATAGGTTTGTTCCCTCCCTGCCCTGTGCAGGACGTGTTTGCCAGTTACAGGAGGCAACAAATCCCAGGACAGAGCTACTCTGGGACCACCTTCCCCTAGTTACTGCAGAGGAAGGTGGTCATCAGGAAATTTTGCTTCATCGGAGTTTGAAACGTTTGGCCCTTTTCTTGAAATTTCTGCTTACCCAAGTCATCTCCACCTGGGAAACCCGCAAGGAAAACACACGGCAGCTCCTCTGATGGTCTGAGTAATTTTGCATCCTCAGATTTGAACAATCTTTATTTGGTCACTTTACAGATGCTTTTCAAGAGAAGTTTTTTTCATAAGCCAGTTATGTCCCAGACTTAGGCTTGCCCCATCGTACCCACCTACAACTCATCTTTTGTGGCAACACCAAGAAAAGCCAGCGTTGACTCACAACATCTCAACATGTACACAAACCTCAGCTCTCTCCACACTCCCAGTTTTCTTACCCCACTTAACATGTTTATCAGCTATTTTGGAACTAGTGTAACAGTCATTCTTAAATGTAGTTTGTCTGACTCAGAAAAGTACATAAGATGCCCAATGACCCTCATCAACACCCATCCTAAGCAACCCAAATCTATATAAACTTGAAATGCATCATTTTGTAAATAGTCAGATTCATGGACTCCTAGTTCAAAGCAAGAAGCCCCTTCTCCAGGATGTCCAAATGAGGTGTCCTTGAGACA